CGTACTTTGAAACGCACTGCCAGACGAGTTGGGCTTGCATATAGGGAAACACGTACGCCAGCAATGCTCAAGCTCTTTCAGAAAGCCCTAGCCAAGGCGAGGGAGCGCATGACAGAGCTCAGGCAAGATAACTGGGAAACTTTTGTTAACAGTCTCAACTCTCACACCCCCCTCAGCCAGGCATGGAAGGATATTAAAAGAATTAAAGGCGATAAGCTCGGCCAAGTAGCACACCCTCACCCTCTACACAGAGCAAACGAGTTAGTCGATGCTTGGGCAACCACCTCTAGCTTCAATAATCTTCCCCCAGACATACAGTTCAGATTAAATGCTGGTTACGGAGATCGAGAAAGGCTCGTTGACTTCATGCTCCACAAGGAAGATGAATGCAACGTGCCATTTACTGAGTTTGAATTACTCGCGGCCCTAAACAAAGGCAAAGCCACATCCCCCGGTGAAGATGGTATCACTTATGACATATTGCGTCTGCTCCCTTTAGTACCAGGGAATCCCCTACTTGAGCTGTATAATATGAGCTATGTTACTGGGGAGCTTCCTAACTCTTGGACCAACAGTATAATCATTCCAATTCCCAAGCCAAATCAAGAGAATGCTTTCCGCCCAATTTCCCTTACTAGCTGCATTTGCAAAACATTCGAGAGAATGGTCCTAAACCGTCTCCTCCATAGAATAAGAACCATGCTATCCCCCCAGATATATGGCTTCATGCATGGAAGGAGTGTGCATCATTGCATCACCACCTTTCTTACCCTGCACACTGAAAAGTCATATACCACCTTCCTAGATCTTAAGTCTGCCTTTGATATTGCAAATAGACATGTTATCTTGAGTGAGCTTGCAAGAATGAATATTGGTGGTCGGCTTCTTTGTTGGATCAGGGGTTACTTATCCAACAGGAAGTCATCTGTATTTTTCCAGGGGCATAGAAGTGTAACAAGAGACTTTGAACTAGGCACCCCGCAGGGTGGTGTCCTCAGTCCTACCTTATTCAATATCTTAATAAACACGCTGTTAAACTCTGTACCGAGCAAACCCAACGTCCACATCATTAGCTATGCTGATGATATAATGATACACACCACTGGGTATGCTAACACGCAGAACACTCTTAACTCTGTATTAGACTCATGTCAGGACCTAGGTTTAATTATCTCAGCAGAGAAAACAAAGATATTAAATCGGCGCCCACCCAGGCAGGGAGGAGCTGTTCGCAAGATGCAACTGTCTGATGGCTCCCAGCTTGACTATGTAAACAGATTCAAATACCTTGGCCTTGAGGTGCCACTGTACGGTCCTGTTGTATTCAGACTCTGTCGTCAGTTTAAAGAGAGGCTCCGAGCTCTCAAGGCTGTTGCAGGTTATCACTCAGGCTATGGTGCCAATGTCAGAATTGTCAAAATGATGTACTTTGCATACATCAGATCTTTAGTGGATTATGCTGCACCTCTGCTTGCTTTGATGCCTGAAAGAAAGCTTGGAGGGCTTGAAAAATTGCAAAACGAAGCCTTGAGGATAATCCTTGGGTGCCCTCGTACCACAAAGATACTTAATATGAGAAAGGAACTTAATATTCTGAGCGTTGTTGATCGTGTTACTGAAATTAACTGTCAAATTGGTATAAAAATGCTTAGGCTAACTCATCCTAATCCTTGCACAGAAGCCCTCCAGAATTTCTTTATTGAAGATCAGCATTGTTCCAAATGGATAACAAAAACTGGAACTCAACTCAGAATGTATCAGATTCATGATTTGTACCAAGAGAAACAACAACGGCACTTTCCTGCACCGTGGGAGGTTACACCCTTTCCAGTTTTAATCCCTCCCTTTCCACCCAAGAAGCAAATTAGAGATCAGCCCAAGCTTCGTCTTGAGGCAAAGCTCAACGCCTTAAGCCATATTGATGCTCTGTCCACAGAGCATTCTCTCTCTCAAATTATATATACTGATGGTTCCCTACACCGCACCACGGGTGCAGCTGGAAGTGCAGTTGTCCTGACAATGGGCGATGGCCTATACTTTGAGTGGGGAGTCCGTATAAACAACTGGGCCTCTACCCTTCAGACTGAACTATTTGCCTTGATCCTTGCACTGAAATGTGTACAAGTTTCAAAACTTGATACATTAATTGTAAGTGACTCCTTATCATCCTTAAATGCTCTCAACTCTTTAAGACATAACTGTAACATGCTCGTGTCCGAAGCTAGACACAAATACAACAAAATTATTAAGGATGGTAACAGAGTCCATTTCATGTGGTCTCCATCTCATGTTGGCCTCCGAATGCATGATAGAGCTGATAAGTTAGCCAAAGAATCTGCCTTTAAAGGAGCCGTTGAGTGTAACCTTGGATTGTCAATGAGCAATCTGAGAGCAGCTGTACACCGAGAGCTTCAACAAGATCTTGTAGATCTGAGGCAAAGTGAAATTGACACCAGTAATTCCATCTATCATCATACTATCATGCAAGAGGAGCCACACATCTATGGATCATCCAATAAAATCAGCAGACTTCTAGATGTTACTACTGCTCGGCTTAGACTCGGTTACAAGTATCTCTGGGAATTCTTATTATCTGCTGATGTAGACCTGACCAAATGTAAACTGTGTCAACAAAATTATTCGCACACCCTCCGTCACTATGTGATGGAGTGCGAAAAGATACGTGAATTTAGAGACAATTCTATAACCAATGTTCCAGCGATGTGTCAATATTTCATTCAAAATGATCTGCTACCAGAAATTTTAGCCAAATATCCCCAGTTTGCTAACTGTAGGTAGTAACTAAGTGATTGTAACCTATCCACCGCTGCCCACTGGATGGGGGGCGGTGTGCAGGACAAACATATAAATTTTGACACTAGCTCTCCACATATGTCAGTTGCTTAATTTAGAACCTGTACTTGAGGTCGATCTCGAACCCATTGTTGATGTGATGACTTATATTGAATTTTGTAACTAGCTCATCAAGATTGTAACTTGCTTAGCTAAATGAATTGTGGGGTTCAGTCCCTGAGCCCATTATGTGCCTCTGTAACCCTTTCCACTACCGCCCACAGGATGGGTATGGGGTGCATAATAAATGAACTAAACTAACTAACTAAACATTACCGGCGCTCTCTCGGAATACGGTCATTCATCCCACAATTAATATATCTGTATATGCATAATATAATACAAATTGACGCAGGAAAAAATGAAAAGCTAGAAAGATTTATCACTAAATTAACAAGTATCAGTGATAAGATAAACGAGTTAATGACTGCAGGCTAAGATAACCCAATCTAATGATATATAATTCATTATATATTATTATACTGTATTATATATATATATATATAATTATATATAATTATTATATTATTATATATTAGCTAAATTATTCTGGGTTTCAGTCCCTAAGCCTATATATGTGCCTCTGTAATCGCTAGCTCTCTCGGGATGGATATGGGGGTTCACTTACGTCCACAGGATGGGTATTGGGTGCACAATAAATGAAAAATATGCAGTGGGGAGCTAGTGCTAAACAAGTGGAATAATCATGATCAAGAGGAGGTGGAAGCAATCATCATTCGCAGTTGAAAAGACTATGGCAGAGCAATGGAACGTCGGGAGGAGTGAATACACCACTGAGGCTATAGGCTCTCTACCCGTGCAATTAGATAAGGGTATCACCGTTTCTATGTGAAGCTTTCACATTGAAGCTGGGAATTAAATTATTATTAATTATTATAATTATTATGTATTGTTCGTCCCTGTACGTACCAACGATACTTGGGGATTTAACATGATTAACGAATCTCTTACAAACTCACATACCCAACGCGCAATAGATCGAGGCAGTAGTTTGGAAAAAACAATCATAGCAAAAAAAATAATATAAACGTAAAGGAAGTTGATAGACCTTAATTGAGTTCTATCTAGTGGAGCACAGATAAGCGAGTCTGCTCACTTCCCCCACACCGTTGACTCTCTCCTATGCCCCGTTCCCTACCTCCTATACTTCATCTCCACATACCTTTTCCATACTAACATTATTATCTTCCTGCGCTCTCCCCATCCTACCTCTAGTTCACTCTTCCCCTCAAGTGATAATGAGGGGAGCTTCTCTCACCCGTCCCCTCCAGGAAGGACCGAAATGTTCTCGTTTCTTCATTTTCAGTTGAGCGTTGAATATCAATGACTTCCTATTATGGCGTACTGGAAGCATATTAGGTTTATTGATGTCACCTTTGTCATTAATTATAACAGCTTTCCTAAGGTCCTGCCCGGGAATCGACTCGATGACCATGTAATTGGTTGTTTTAGTCTACATTAAGATGTAACCCCAAAATTTGGATTCTGGCGGGTTCCCAGGGGTCTTGTTAGGTTCATGACAAAAATAATCTCATAACTAAGTAAACTCATATACCGGGAACACTTGAGGGCCACGTAGCACTAACAACACTACAAACCAGATACGACAGGCTTATCACATCGAGACCTTTAAAGTCCCCAAAGAATTTGGGGATATTAATATCCAGAGCACTTCTTTAAAAGGTTCAATGTAGCTCTCACAAAGGCTCAACAAGGGTTATAAACCGACTAATCGGCGAAGCTGTATAAATGACAAGGCAGATAGAAATTTTATCTGTTCAAGACAGATATTTTAAACTCATTCAGTTTAAAATACAGATAGAATAACCTCTGGAACAATGGAGGGATATTCGACAAGCCTCCCTCCCCTTCCTGTCTTCATTGAAACCATTATATAGGAATATGTAATCCGCAGGTAAATAAAATTAGCAACAAAAGAAATACATTATTACAGGTGACCTAACTAACAAAAAATATAAAGGAAAAACAAATATTTTAATTAATGTTTGAGTTCATATGTAGGCTGCACAATAGCCCTATGTTCCCCTCATAAACATTTATAATATTCCCCTCAAAAATGACATTAGCTATACTCTCTTAAGTGTTTCTGGCAATACTTTTGCCTATTTTTTTTTATGTGGCGACTCTGCGGGCTGTGTTTACACCTCTAGCGCGTCGTCTCGGCGTGACTCAGGTCGGAGCTGTGTTATTCCTGCTATTACTCGACCAAATCACCATTCTCCGTGCAGGATAAGGTAATCCAGAGAGGCATAATGCTCTGGCGTAGCGGCAGGGAGGTGAATTATGTAAGAGGGTTGGAGAAAAGGAGTTATGTTTGATGTTTTGCGAAGCAGGAAGGTGAACCATTTTGTGTTGTGGGAGCCGACTAGGACTGCCTCGCCGGCCGCGTTAGTTCACTATATACCGCGATCCCGACCTTCCTATCTCTCGCTATTATCCCTCCGTGTCCTCCGCAATATGGCCATAATTGATTCTGTCGGGCAGAAGGGGATAATTAGAGGAACGTATAACAGTGAAGGGGTGAAATAACGTTGAATGCGCCATGTAGGAGAGAGGCCCGTGTGGGAGAGGCTGGTGCTCCTGCAGGGGTACCAATGGAGTGGGGAACCTTGGTGATTTGGGCCTACGGAGCCTCTTTTTGACATTATACTGTTATTTCCAGTCATTTCTTAACGTTTCTTTCCAAAATGCTTAAGTCCTACATGATGATTATATATATATATAGGGAACCAATGGTGTAGGGCAACCCTGATGTTTTGTGTTTGCCCTTGCCTTAATGTTTATATTTTATGTTTATTTAAAGCATTTATAAGAAGGTTGCAATATTGGTAGGGAATTACATTCATGCAGAATAACTAATAGGCAGGTGTATGAAACTAGTGAAATGGGTGTGTATAGAGAATTTGCAGATTTGAAAGATAACTATTGTCTTAGCATGTTTTTAGTGTCATTTCTTGGCAAAATGCTTTTTTATCCTACACCAGTCAAGGTGAATATATGGTCAGTGAATGACAAATTACAAAGAAGTGGACCATTCAGCTCTATTATCTCGGATTTTCATAAAATTGGGTAGGATGGTAGAGGACATGAAGTAACTTATATATGCAAAATTGTAGAGCTCAGTGATTCGTATTGCAGGATTGCCGATGTGAAAAAAATAATTTTTGCTTACATGCTCGACAAAATTATAACTTTGCATCTAATTGAGACAAAACCTTCATATTGCACTTAGTTTGAAGCTAAGAAGCATGGTTTTCATTAAAAGTAGTTTAATTGATAAAAGTATCTTTATTTTTTTTAGGAAAATATATAGTTAAATTCATTCTCTTTGGTATAAATTTAATTTTGGGATGGCTTTGGGAACTGTAGTACAAAATCATGAAAGTAGCATACCTCATATTCAGTATAATACCTTGGCACTTGTTTGTGGATATTACCATATCAAAGAATGAAAGATTATATCATATACAACATTGAGGAAAACTTGCAATCATAACAAATTAGTGCCTTCTCTGCAGCACTTATAAGCCATGAGTGTCCGCAGCAATTAATGTGTAAGTTTACCCAGTCTCAGTGTGTGGATCAATGTTAGTGAGAACTTGTTCATTTGGAATGTCTTGGCTGGTGAGGATACACTTATGATGGGAATGGCCCATTAGGATTCAAGGTTGCAGTTTATTATATACATAAGTTTGGCATCTTTTAAAAAGGATACAAACTAATGTTTGTCGTTTATTTTTCATAACATGGTTAGGTATTTTTTTCAGATGAGAGGAGCAGCTCCTGCTTAAAAAGAAAACGCTGATTAGAATTATTGCCTCTATAGAAGGCACAAGGAAACTTCATGTCCACAAATGCAGCAGGTAAGAGTGGAACAGCTGCAAAAGTAGAACCACCAGCTACAAAGATGGAATCATCTGCTGCAAATGTAGGAACACCTACAAAAAAGGTGGTAACACGAGCTACAAAGGTTACAACACGTGCTTCAGTAGTGGCGCCTCCCGCTGCAAAAGTGGCGACTCCCGCTGCGAAGGTGGCGACTCCCGCTGCAAAAGTGGCGACTCCAGCTGCGAAGGTGGCGACTCCAGCTGCGAAGGTGGCGACTCCCGCTGCAAAGGTGGCGACTCCCGCTGCGAAGGTGGCGACTCCCGCTGCAAAGGTGGCGACTCCCGCTGCAAAGGGAGCAACGCCCGCTGTGAAGGTGGCAACACCCGCTCCAAAGGTGGCAACGCCTGCTCCGAAGGTGGCGACGCCAGCTGCGAAGGTGGCGACGCCCGCTGCGAAGGTGGCGACGCCCGCTGCGAAGGTGGCGACGCCCGCTGCGAAGGTGGCGACGCCCGCTGCGAAGGTGGCGACGCCCGCTACAAAGGTGGCAACGCCCGCTGCAGTGGTGACGCCCGCTACTAAAGTGGCGACACCCGCTGCAAAGGTGGCGACACCCGCTGCAAAGGTGGCGACACCCGCTGCAAAGGTGGCGACACTCGCTGCAAAGGTGGCGACACCCACTGCAAACGTGGCGACACCCACTGCAAATGTGGCAACACCCACTGCAAAGGTGGCGACACCCGCTGCAAAGGTGGCGACACCCGCTGCAAAGGTGGCGACACCCGCTGCAAAGGTGGCGACACCCGCTGCAAAGGTGGCGACACCCGCTGCAAGTGTGACGACACCCACTGCAAACGTGGCAACACCCACTGCAAACGTGGCAACACCCGCTGCAAAGGTGGCAACGCCCGCTGCAAACGTGGCAACGCCTGCTGCAAACGTGGCAACGCCCGCTGCAAATGTGGCAACGCCCGCTGCAAAGGTGGCAACGCCCGCTGCAAAGGTGGCAACGCCCGCTGCAAAGGTGGCAACACCCGCTGCAAACGTGGCAACGCCTACTGTGAAAGTGGCAGCTCCTGCTGCAAAGGTTGCAACCTCCGGTGGGAAGGAGGCTGCCCCCGCTGCAAAGGTGGCAACGCCTTCTTCAAATGTGGTAACACCTACAAATGCTTCAGTGCCCGATACAAAAGTGGCAGCGCCTGGTGCAAATGCAGCAACGTCTGCTACAAAGGGTGCAGCACCATTGCAGCAGGTGGCACCATGTAACGTGAAGGTGGAAGCACCTACTATAAATGTAACACCTGCCGCAAAGGTAGCACAGCCTGCTGCAAACAACACGCCACCTGTAACAAACAATGCCCCGTCTACTCCAAACAAACCTGCAGAATTAAAGGTAATTTAAACATGTTGTAAATAGTTAATGCTTTTTATGTATTTTGTTATTTAAGACCTGTCTTGGTGTGCCACCATAGGCTTATATTAACACTTTTACGATTCTGATCCCTCGGCACCTGCCTGACTAAATGTTCCGGGCATCTCAAGATCCCTCTCATGACCACCTAAATACATCATATTTTTTTTTTGTTATTTTTGGGGTTATAACTTAATTTATAGTTATAAAATGTTCAAAATGTTCACAAATATGTTTTCTTGAGTATAGATGCACAAATGATGCATATAGTGTATTCCCTGTAATAGATTATGCATAACGATGCTGAATATACAAAAATTCATGAAGATTTTTAACATTCCTTATATATTTTTAAACTTCATTTATTTTTCAATGTAAAAAAATGTGTGTGCACATAACAGGTCTATATCGCTATGAAAAGGAAACTAACATAAATAATTCTTTTCTGGCATTAAATTTGCAATACAGTATATTATGAAAATACTCACAAGTAGAGCAATTATCATCTTGAGTGAGCAATCGTTGACCGAAGTCATATCTGAATGATCATACTTTGTTTGATCCTCTGATAAGCTCTACCCACACCATGCTAAAAAAAAAAAATCAGACTTCCAAATATTTTGTCAAAGATAATGTGTTTTTAAGGGAAAATATTACGTTCCTTTAAACAAGAATTATTTTTACAGGTTAATAAATTACTGTATTGAGTGTACTGTACTGTAGAATATAAAATTTGACAATACAGCACAATGAATTAACCTTAAAAATGTATTATATGGTTCTGATACAATGGAAACAATAAGAATAGCAGTATTGAGTGTAATAATATATTCAACCATATCTTGCTACATATTGTTCCAGTCATCTTAATATTTAATGCATTAGGAAAGTCCTACTTTAGAATAGAGATGGATGCAGTAAAATTAAGAAAATTATCAAATAATATGGAATGGAGTGAATGAAAAGTTCAGTGAAAGGGGGAGAAACAAATGTAAAGAGGAAAGGAATGGATTGGCACAATAGTGTTTAGGAGAACGGTAGTGTAATGAAGAAAATATGTAGCATTTGTATTTTTCAGTATATTTCATAGTGTGTTTTGGGTCCTAGCTAGACCCTTGCTAGCTAGGACAGTGATACCCTCCCTGATAAGACTCATGTTGTTGCATTTCATATTCATAATGCAATTTTGACATATCTATTAATTTGTAATTTTCCTTCCTCAGGTGGGCACTAATGTAAATGCCGCTGCCAATACCAATAAGAAGAAAAAAAATAAGAGAAAGAAGAAAAATAATGCCCCTCTCAACACAGCAAGTAGTACCAATGCAACCCCCACAACTGCTGCCACCGCTGCTACCACTGCTGCTACCACCACTGCTGCTGCCCCCGTTACTGCCCCTGTTACTGCCCCTGCTGCTGCCACTGCATCCTCAAATACTGCCACTTCCACCACCACAACTACTCCCACTAACAAACCTATTAATAATACCACTGCGTCTGCTAGCAATGTCCAAAGTGCCATGCCAAATACCAATGCAAAAGGTAAAAAAAGGAAGAGAAAGGCTAAAATTGATGCACAGAATATGCCTCCACCACAAAAGCAGCTTGTAATCCAGAATACATTCAACAAACCTGCAGGGGCTCGATTCCCTAATACTGCGGGCTCACTTAAAAGGAAGCGAGATGATTCTCTAAGTGCTCGTGGAGGAGCACCAAATCGACTCAAGAGTCGCCCTAACAGGAAATTTATAAATACTACTGCTGTACGTGCCCAGCTGTATCGTGGTGCTGGTGCAGAAGATGATTACTTTGGGTATTGGGGCTCTGGAGGGAAGAAGGAGTATGTCCGACAATTCGGAGAAATCGGATCTGGCGTCGTTTTTCCATCTTATCTTGACACACCAGAAGATAATATTAGTAATAGTAGTAGAGGAAATAAGAGAGGCAAGCTTAATAAGAATAGAGGAGGATTTGGCCACTATCAAGTCTCAAGTTACCAGACAGCCATCCAGGGATACTTTCCAGATGAGTACGTTCTTTACTTTGACAAATTATTATTTTATTTTACTTTGTCACTGTTATTTGGTTCTTACAAATGGATGAAATGTTATAACAAAGGGAATTTAAATATGTTTTTGAATATATTGACACAAAATAGAACTGGTAATAATGGATATATAAACTGAATAATTTTACTTAGGAAAAACATGGGTAAATACTGGTTTGGTAGTACCTGTGCAGTTGTTGATTTATGGAACAAATTACCGCATAACCTAGTAGACTAGGGATCAATGGATTGGTTCAAGTATAGGTTAGACATGCATATTCAAGGGATTTGGTGGATATAAATATGATTTGCTTTGTATAGACCAATAGGCTTTCTCAAGTGTTTCCTTAATTTTTATGTTCATATGCAATTATCTATGATGACTTCTCTTGGCGAGTCCCTAAACATTGAGCCATGAGCGAAGCCCTCCCACCAAGAAAGGCATTTCATTGCACTCAACACTCACGTTTTCAAGAATATATCATGATAATGAGATTATTGGTTGTCACTGATCTGTAACTATATACAGTATCTGTATATAATTTTCATTTATACACTCACTGTATCCAATGTCACGTGAATGGTTAAAGGATCATTTGCTGGTTGCAATTACAAATACTATACAGTAAACTCAGTTCTGTACTCTTTTTCCTTCCATAAGAATAGAGGAAACTACAGAAGGCCTATTGGTCTATATGAGGCAGCTGCTATTAATATCTACCCGAATTCATTCACATGTACGTCTAGCCTATGCGTGAAACAATCCAACGATCCCACATCTGTTATGTTATCCAGACATTTGTTCCATAAATTAACAACCCTGTTTCTAAACGAATATCTACACAGGCCTTTACTGAGTTTTGTGTATCCATTATGTCTTATCTTTGCCACTAAAATAAGAGAACTGCAATTTATATTTGGCCAATTGTTCTCTTTAGCCATACAATGAGATTTTCTAAATTAACCCTTACACCACTCCAATTACTACTTATGATTTCCTCCTCACTATTTGCATTTTCCCCATTTGATTTGTTAACTTTTTAGTCAGTCTCACTTTAATCTGGTACTTTTACGTAACTGCACTGTTGAGGGGGTTAAGGCATTCATATTAGTATGCTTCATTATTAATTTAATTTTATATTTTTCAGTGATGGATCTAGTGCAAATGCCATCCCTGTATCATGGAGTAAGGAGGGAGGATTAAGGAAGACCTTCAGGGGAGGCAAACCCTTAACACCTGATAGGTAATGTGTGAATATTTTATAAATTTCTCTATGGTAGTAAAATAGAATGGGATTCTGTATGATAGTAAAACAAGACATTCTATTAAATGTGTGATGTTTGTGTAACATCTGGAGAACGGCCATAAATACCTACATGATATTCGTGTGATATCTACAGAACAGCTTTAAATATCTGTGTGGTGTTATGTGATATATGGAGAACATCCATGAGTGCAGACGAGGAGTCACAATAACGTGGCTGAAATATGTTGACCAAACCACACACCAGAAAGTGGAGGGACGACGACGTTTCGGTCCGTCCTGGAGCATTCTCAAGTTGATTGTCTTGACAATTGACTTTAGAATGGTCCAGGACGGACCGAAACGTCGTTATCCCTTCACTTTCTAGTGTGCAGTTTGGTCAACAACATCCATTAGTATTGGCATGGTGGTTGTGTGGTTTGCGGTGAACATCCATCATCGTCAGCCTGAATCTTTAAAAATGTGCAAATTGTAATGAAATTATTGAAGATGTTAATTTGGCCTTGAAACTTCCTGGTAGGAGACTTCAGAACTATTTTAAAAAGTTGTTGATCACAGGGCATACTGTTCTCCCAGTACTGTTGCAGATAGATGCCTAGGATGTTTTGGAAGACTTTTTTTTATTGCTAGAACATTTAAAGATATTAGAATTAGATTTGAACAGTACAAAAATTAATAATTAAAGAGGCATGTTAATATTATGAGAATAAAATAGAAAATGTAATTAAAGATTTATAGAAAGATATGTGAGTGCTAAGTTGATAAATTGGAAGATTACAGAGTGAACTCAAATGGGTTGTTTGTGCTGAATGAATGGAGAATGGAATGCTGTTGGAGTATATGTTTTGAAAGTACTGTACTGTACAGTAAAGTCCCCATTATCAGGATTCTCGGATTATCCAGACTCTGTTGTACTATATTGTTAAAAATCATTCCCCAGAGTCTAGGAAAAATTACCCAAAAATTGTTAGGCACTTAGGGTGTAGCGAATGTTAAATAATCGATGGGGGTAATCACATCTTATTCACAAATGAGGCGAGCCGTCTAGTTGGGTTGCTATCCGACTCATAAAAGTCTTACAGGCTCATGTGCATCCAGTTCAACATAAATTTTGTCATGTGTAAGTGTTATTTGTGAACATGTCATACTGCTGTACTGGGTTGAGACCTAGAACTGTCCGTCAAAACAGCTGCCTGTAGGCAAGACAGGCTATCCTCAATTTTTTTTCAAAATGGCAGATATCTGTTGGAGGCCTCAGGTACCTATTGGGAACCCGGTGCACTCACAGGAGTTTCAAATGTGGGGTACCTAGAAACCTCTTGGGACAGTATGATGCTCGAGATGCTGTGGGGAACGAACTTGGTGGCAGCAGTTTGCTAAGAAGCATGTGTGTTTTGTGCTATATAAAGTATATGCACAGTAATGCTTGTAGGGCATTTAAATGTACTACAATAGCAACATTAAAGTCTACTGGGAGACTTAGTTTGTTAGTTAGGTTCAGGATTCATCAAGTACTTAGAAAACCTATACATTATTCAACAATCATGGGGCTTCGTGGTAGCTTTGTTTACATTTATTAAACTGTTTATGAACTTCGTAGTACTATGAGATTGTTTACCACAAATATAACCTTGGGTTTGCTATGTTCTGAAACTCTTAAGAAAAACTTAGAGTTAAAAAACTTTATTAAGAAACTCTTAATAAATATAAACAAAAATGCCCACGAGTGTTGACAAGTGCAGTTTTCGTAATTGGATGCATAAATGCTTGATGAATCTTGATCTAAAAATATTTTTCACCCTGTCCCTTGCATGTTTGTCGATTTTGTATTGTTCTTATGCTTAGTAAGCAATTTGATTGATTTGTTGTGTTTTTATTCCTTTCTGCAGACGAAGCGCTAACACCAACCTGATTGCACTGTCAAGGAATAAAAGCGAGCTAATGGATTTTTCCACAGGTGAGCTGTTTACTGTACTTTAAATCACTGAGTTTTATTAACCAGGTTCATGATTCATCAAGCATTTACACATCCAATTATGAAGCCTGTATCTACTCAACAATGGTGGGTTTGTTTCCATTTATTATAAACCATTATCAAACAGTTGAGCTCCAAAGTGCTATGAGGTTCTTTATAACAATAATAACCTTAGGTTGTGAAGTTACGAAGCTCGTAAACTGTTTAATAAAAGTAAACAAAGCCACCATGATTCAGAAAATATGTACAGGTTTCATACACTTTGGGTAAATGCTTGAGGAATCCTGGCCCTAGTTGTGTGAAATATAATTACTGATACTTGGCATAATCATTTTACATGTTGAATTATTATTTGGTTAATGTCATATTCCCATTTATAGATGACTATAAAGGGATCTCTAACATTGCAGGACAAAGTGACTGGAGTCCAAGAGGAAGAGGAAATGCTGGCCAAAGAGGAGGATTTAATGCTGGCCAGAGAGGAGGAAATGTTGGTCAGAGAGGAGGCTTCAATGCTGGTCAGAGAGGAGGCTTCAATGCTGGCCAGAGGGGAAGCTTCAGTGCTGGTCAGAGAGGAGGCTTCAATGATGGTCAGAGAGAAGGTGGAAATGCTGGTCAGAGAGGAGGTGGAAATGCAGGTCAGAGAGGAGGTGGAAATGCAGGTCAGAGAGGAGGAGGAAATGCTGGTCAGAGAGGAGGAGGAAATGCTGGTCAGAGAGGAGGAGGAAATGCTGGTCAGAGAGGAGGAGGAAATGCTGGTCAGAGAGGAGGAGGAAATGCTGGTCAGAGAGGAGGAGGAAATGCTGGTCAGAGAGGAGGAAATGCAGGTCAGAGAGGAGGAGGAACTGCAGGTCAGAGAGGAGGATTTAATTCTGGTCAGAGAGGAGAATCAAATGCTGGTCCAAGAGGAAGAGGAAATGCTGGTCAGAGAGGATTTAATTCTGGTCAGAGAGGAGAATCAAATGCTGGTCCAAGAGGAAGAGGAAATGCTGGTCAGAGAGGAGGATTCAATTCTGGCCAGAGAGGAGAATCAAATGTTGGTCTAAGAGGAAGAAATTCTGGTCCGGGAGGAAGAGGAAGTGCTGGTCCAAGAGGAGAAAATGCCACCGGAAATAAAAGCTCTCCTAAGTTTGGAAATCGAAGTGCTTCCTATGAAAGTATTCGTGTTACCTTTAGGAGCGGAGGAAGTGCCTTTGATGGTGAAGATGGTAACTTTGGAGTGAGAAGTAGTTCCTTTGAAAATTCAAGTGGTAACTTTGGAGTGAGAAGTAGTTCCTTTGAAAATTCAAGTGGTAACTATGGAAATGATAACTATGGAAATAACTATAGAAACGATAAGTATGGTGATGATAACTTCAGAAGTGAAAATGAAAACTTTGGAGGTAAAAACTATAGAAATGAAAATGATGACTTTGGAGGTAAAAACTACAGAAATGAAAATGATAACTTTGGAGGTGGGACTTCAGGCCATAGATTATCCTATGAATCCAGGTATGAAAATAATTATGTAATTACCATGTGATTAGACCTAGTGTAAAATGTAGATGGTAGATTTAATTAATGCATGTGATTAAATACTTGTATTACAGGGTGCGTTATGAAGGAAACAAGAAAGATAGCATTATACATATCAAATGCAGGCAATAAGTCACAATAATGTGGCTGAAAATTAGGCACCCAACCAACAGCTAGGAAAATCAAAGAATTTGTAAGGTTGTAGTCTGTCCTGGGCCATTTTTAAGTCATTATATGACTCGATAATGATCCTGAACAGTCCAAAACATTGTCAGTTCTTTGATTTTCAGATGTGTGGATTAGATGTTAATACATATCAAAATTGGGTAAGTAAAGGTGCACTGTAGTGTGTAAAAATTGAATGCTGTGCTTAAACTTGGATAACTGGAGGAAGATTTGAATTAAAGTGGATTGCTGTAATATGATACAATTTGTATGGAAAATATAGGGGAGGGCTTTTCTGTCGGTGTCTGCATAGTCAATGAGGGTTTTAATTTGATTTTTGTCGAGAGGAAAAATGTGAGGCAAATTGTGAAGAAAATTAAGGGTAGCGAGTGTTGGTTCTTCCTGGTCTGGCTGCCAAGGATTTACTGGACACTGGATATGTAAACCAAAATGTGTGTTGAGGATATACAGTATATATATATATAGGACAAACCATAACCATTACTGACATATTTATATACTGTAGATCAAAATTTCATTTTATGTCCCTTTGCTCTCATATTTGCATCATCAAGGTCAAGTAAGTTTCTTGAGAAAACTAAATGCAACTCAAAAGGATAGAGTAGCTGTCTTGGACTACCTACCCTCTTGGACTTCTTGACTGCTTTGCCTTTCAGATAATGCTAAATAGTCTTCCAGGCTTTTTGCCTTTTTCTGATAAATTACTTCCTCTAGTCCAGTGGTTTATGTTCTCGCCTCAGAATCACGGATCCAAAGTTCTATTCCCGGGTGGGACAAATAGTTGGGTACATGTCCTTTTACCTAATGTCTCTGTTCACATAGCAGTAAATAGGTACCTGGGAGTTAGGCAACTGTTGTGGGTTGCATCCTGGGGGAAGGGCAGTAGTGCAACCATGGTCGGGGAACCTTCATATAAACCTAAATATAGGCATCCTGTTTTGGCAATGGTACTGTATTGTTATTATTAATTATTATTAATTATCATTATTATTTGTATTTATGCAGCTACAAATATTTCTCATAATTTATTCCAGTGAGCCCCACACCACAAGTGGAAATGCTGGTCAGTGGAACTGGGAAGACAAGAATAAACCCCAAAAAGGATACTCTAGTAAGTACAGTACTGAACAATAGTATACTAAATTCATTTATGTATATTATTAGATTTTCCTTCATGCCTGTATTATGTTGAGAGCTCTGAAGCATTATATGAATGCAGCTCAACCTTGTGTGGAGTGTGATGAGATAACAAACGTGTGGAGCTATTTATGGTGGTACGTGGCTAGTTCGATCTTCTCCAATCTTCATGTCTGGTCTTTCTGATGCGAATTTATCACCACTTGTATGGTGATTAGGTGGCTTCGTTGGTGGTGTCCCACCATCAACCGTATAGTGTTTCATTTCGGTGGCAGTACGAAGTTTCCTGGCAGTCCTTTTGTCATTTTTACTCTTTGTAAGTTGTCTTCGATTTCTGAGCGGGTTATATTGTCCTTTCTCTCTGGGCTGTTTCGGGACTGTCATCTTATGGCGAATACTGTCGCCTCGTATCGTGCGATGCTGGTGGAGCCGATTCTGCTTGTGTTTTCTTGCTCCATTCTGCAAGCTATCTCGTGCATTGTTTAATTTCCGGCCTGCTCATGCCCTGCCCGAGCCTTCCTGGTCGATGGACCGAGTGCTCTCTTTTTTTCTCTCTTCTCCTCAGTTTGCGATGGCCCCTTTTGTTCAGGATAGGTTTTCTAAGGTTCTTTTTCTTGATGGCATTGGGCTCTGGGGGTCGGCTTGGAGAGCTTAATGCTCTCCTTCGGCGTAGGGGTTTCTGCTTTTTTGGTCCTGGTGGTTGGTTTGTTCGTTTGCAGCCATCTCTTTCTTTTCTGGCAAAGAATGAGACTGCTGCTTTCCGAAGGGGTCCTTGGGTTGTTGATGCTTGATTGGTTCAGCTAGGGGTACATCATGTCTTGTATCTGGTTGCAGCTCTTCGCAGTTACTTGCATGCCATGGCCTCCCTCGGTGGTTGGGGACATGCTTTGGGTGGACCCGGTTTCCCTTCTTCCCTGTTCCAGGACATGGGTCTTCCAGGTCATCCACAGGGTTATTCGGTGCAGCCAGTCTGCGATCTGTCTTTGTGCCTATGACGTTTCGTACATTTGCGACTTTGACTGCTGTTTTTGGTAACGTGTCCTGGGCTGACATTCAGTTGTGGGGTTTCTGGCGGTCGAACAGGGTCCTGGCCACACGGTGTCTTGTTAATGTTCCAGGCCCCTACTCGGGCGTATGTAGCCTTAGGCCATGGGTTGCAGGTAGTTGTCTCGATTTCGAGTTGAGGAGCGAGTGACGATTACCTCCCGGGTAAGTCCCTCTTTTCTTATCTTTGGTTAGGTAGCTCCGGGGAGCCAGAGGGGTTCTCCACAGAAAACCAGCATTGAATGTAATGAAACGACATTTTCTGGGTGAGTCTCGGAGGCTCTCCGGCAACCCTCCCTCCCTCCGGTCGGTGGTTTTAACGTTTTTGACATTCAGCCTCTGAACGGGGGTTGGATAAATGTTATGCTCATCAAATCCAATTTAATTGGTTTTGGTGATATGGGGAGGCAAGAGTTTCTGGGATTTATGGCCCTCACCACTTGGGCTGGACGGTAGAGCGACGGTCTCACTTCATGCAGGTCGGCGTTCAATCCCCAACCGTCCAAGTGTGGTTGGACACCATCCCTTTCCCCTGTCTCATCCCAAATCCTTATCCTGACCCCCCTTCCAAGTACTATATAGTCTTAATGGCTTGGCACTTTTCCCCTGATAATTCCCTTCCCTTCAAACACTTTGAGCATTAACTTTACAAAGTATAACACACAACACTTGCATTTGATATGAGTTGTTCACAAAGTATAAAACATATCACTGGGATATTGTATAATAATTTCCTTTTTACAATTCTTGCTGCTTTTCCAGGTTTCCAGGAGCAAAATCAGAGTACGTGGAGGTGTCCAGCTGACAATCAACAACATGCTTCGTCCAGTAATGACAGGTATCACGAGCAGCCACCGCCCCCAGCTTTTTATAACTCTCCACAAACTGAAGTTGTCAGGCATTCGTTAGATTTTCCTCCACCCTCTTTCAATATGCCCATAAGATCTGAGGGTATGAGGGGTTCATACAGTGACCCTTCTTTGAATAATTCAGGAGCGTCTGATATAAGATCTTCACATAATGAGCATTCACATTTCTCAAACACCCAAGGCTCTTACAGTGCTAAACACTCACAAAATGAACCACCAGCCTATTTTACTAGCCAAGGACCAATGTACAATTCAAAATACCCTCAGAATGAACCTTCATCTTATTATAGTAATCCAGTTTCTGATATGAAACCCCCTATGAATACCTCTCAGGAGATGTCCAATGTGCATTCATTGGCATATGAACCTCATAAGTACACAATGAACGAAAACTCCGACTTTCCCAGGACTGCAGGACAATCGGGGTACCACACTGCACCCACTCCATCTCATGATGTTATGAGATACTCAACAAGTGAGGGTTCAAACTTTAGTAATGTTGGAAAAAGTAACAGTGAAATAAGATATGCTTGGAGTGAAAAGCCACCCCCAGCAAACATTCCTTCAACTTCTTCTTATGGAAGGTATTCACAGAATGAATCATCTAACTACAATAGTGGTCAGATGTCTTCACCAGGAAGACATTCGGCACGTCCACCTCCAGATTTTAATTCCTCTAATACGTCATTGAATAAAATGCATTTATCAAATGAACCCAGTAAGTATTTTAAGAGTACTGAAGTATCTTCTAATTCAAGATACTCGGAAAATGTGTCTTCACGTTACTTTACTGCTCCATCTAACAAGGATCATAGTCTCTCTATAAGTGAGCCTTCAAGTTTTGGCACTCGAGCATCTTATAATGCCAGAGATTCACTAAGCAACCATTCAGATTTTCTAGACTCGTCAGAATCATTGTATGATCAGAGATATTCTTTGAATAAGCCATTATCTTCAAACCCATATACAACAAGCTCATATACAACAGGTTACAGTACAGGTAATAGACAGTACTTAAAGGAAACCTCAATGCCCAGTAACAATCGCTCAGTGCCTACAAAAGATCACCCAATGAGTAAATCTGCATATTTTAAGCCACGCAGTTCATACCCAAAGTGATAAAAAAGCACAGTCTTTCTCCAGAAGTCAAGCACTGTCTAACATGAAGTTCCCACTGAATTGACCAAGAACTATATTCAAATCTTCAGTGTCTTCCAAGGGGAAAAAGTGTACTTTAAATAGACCAACATCCTGTAATAGTACTTCATGTAATGTGAGACATGGTTGAAATATAACTGAAGCTTACTATAGTACTTCTGCAGATACTTAACCATTATGCTACATCTTATGAATTTAGAAATGAAACTTAATTCCAAGTACCATTAGAGATGTCAATACCTGGTCAGACACAACTAATAAATGAGCTAGAATTTGATCATCAACTGAGAATGAGTTCACTGACTACTGTATCTGATAATACCTTTAGTATCAGAACATAGTAATGCATTGATTTTAAATGTATCTGTGATCTTGAATGTATTTTTTTAAGGGAACTTGGGTCAAACTTGTCCATGATTAGTTTGCCTTCTTTTATCATAGCTTGACGACGAGGCTTTAAATCTTTCAAATTTGTCTCTGGGTTAGACTTTCTTATTAATGTTGAGAAAGTTATATAAAGCATGTGTGGCATGATGACCAAACCACACATTAGAAGAAGAAGAGACGATGTTTCGGTCCGTCCTGAAACAATTTAAAGGTTTGTGCAGGACCATTATCACACACGACTTGATAATGGTTCAAGATGGACCGAAATGTCGTCGTCCCTTCATTTTCAGATGTGTGGTTTGGTCATCATATTCTCAGCCACATTATTGTGAATACTTCTGCATATATGGCATGTAAAACTCGTCATTAAAACCTGTTTCATTTGACTTGCTGATTGGCAGTGAAATACCTAAAATGTCAAGAAAAGCAAAATCTTTTTTTATTTATTAACATAACTGTAATTTATACATTGTGCAGTTTGTGCAGCAGTTTATAAAAAACTTTTTTGTTGCAACATATATATTAATGTTAATTTAGGATTATTGTATATTAAACTGTATGAAATCAGCAATAGTGGCATGTATACTGTACAAATTTTTGTTGACTGCTACGTATATGAGTTTCAACATCAAACAAGTACTGAATGGAAAATTTAAAAAAAAAAAGTAAGCTAATTTATTGTAAGTGTTGCATAGTACATACATATTGTATTATAATTTCAGTGTTTTAACTCTCCCATCTGATCTGGTTTATTGAAGCAGCATCACAATTCAGCACTTGGCAATGTCTAGAGTTAAAACAAAACAAATTTCATCTGATCAAATTACTTGTGATTTTACGAAATTTATAAAATACCTGGAAAATCTGCAAGAGTGTCACACGGGGGGGAATTTTCTGCAGTTATTGACATATATATATTAGCATCTTTTGTTGCTGTCGGTGGGTATTGGAAGCAACAGGCTACTCTCGAAAAGAATACCTTTATAAAGTTTGCACTACAATAAATGCCAAGAACAAAACATTCAAGATCTTTATATATATAATGAATGGTTTTATGGATATTTTCACTGATGTTATAGGTTTATTATATTTATTTTCATGCTTTTATGTGTCACTGAGTTTGAAAAGTAAAGTGAGGCCCCCCCCCCCCCCCCCCCCCCCCAACACTGTAAATGCTAAAAAATAATTGAGTTAGCTTGGCATTTTTTGTTTGACCCCTTAAATGGCTAAGCTAATTAAAATTCCTACATTGTGGTACGCACGAAAAAAAATATATTCATAATTTATAAGGATCATTCACATGTGATGATATAAGCACAGGATGCAAATGAGGTAGTATATAGCAATTGAAACCATTTGAGGGTTAAGGCACAATTTAGAGAACACGTGTTGTAACAATTCGGTAATTGAGTGGGCTGATATTTTAACGGGACATTTTTGGACAAAAGAATAAAATATCTTGAGATAGATCAGAGGGAATATTAGTACTGGTGGCAAACCATATACTGTACTTCTTTGGGTATGGTAATTGATCGTCAATGATTTGAAGGGTCTGAGGCTTTGTTCATTTTTTTATTGTTAATGTTAACTTACTGGGGATATTCATTGATTTGAAATATTGTGAAAGACATCATTCTTTCTGACTTTTTTGAGGAAAATGATTGTTCAGTCATTTCTTCCTAATCCATAGAAGAACCACCTGCCTTCAGGAAATACACTGTAACTCTGTTTTAGAAATGAAAGTTTAATGTGACTCAGAGGTTAGATAAATAAAGCCTAAAGAAAGATATATTTATTTATTTCAACTCTGGCCAGGTTATTATTAAAAGATGCTGAGCATCTTTTCAACTCTGGCAGGGTTAATCATACCAAGATGCTGGCATCATTTTGGTGGCAGCATCAGTAGTGGTGAATATGGCAAGCATTTATTACTAACAATGACAGTGGCAGCACTTATGTTTTGTGGGACTGTGGTCTGGTTCCATGGTCTTGTTTAGATAATTTCCGAGAAGTTTTGACTCGTTTAAGTTGGTCTTTGTTTAGTCCTATTATAAGAAATGTTGACTCCTGGTTAAGTACAGTATGTCCAAGTTTGTGGGGTGCTAGAGGAAGCAAGTAGTTGTAGTTAATAGTGGCGATTGGATTAATAGCATAAAGGACCATGTGGATGAATCTTACCAGTATGTGAAAGCACTCTGGGTCACAAGCATCGTGCATTAACATAGTAGGGGTAATGATAGTGATAATAGTTGGTTAGTACTAGTAGTTGTAATAGTGGTGTACTCACAGTATACAGTGGCAGTATTTCTTGTCCTTCCATCTGCTCAATGTTTAAAAAGAAGAGACATTGGAGCTTTCAAGTGCTTTGATGATCTATTATACTGTTTTTGAATTATGTATTCACTCTTTTTTTTGTCTTTGAATTATATTTTTGAGTATATTTTAACTTGAATTCTGAACACTATAACTTGTTTAAGGTACTGTACCCATAATAGCAGTTGCATTTTAAGGAAACCGTTTAATTTAAGCACTAGTTAAATAATAATTTTATTTGAACAACCCAAAAATATTTGACATGCATGCGATATGGCATAGTTTAAAATTGTCTTGGTGTGTATATTATACAGTATTTCTGATCTTTGTGATTTAGAGCTTGCTGTAATGAAGACAAGTGTCTTGCTTCTTTACCACACATTAATTTGTTTAAATTATGGTTGGGGCTACCACGTGAGTTTCATCAAAATAGTTCATTATTTTTCATAGTTCATTATTTTTCATAAAACTTATTTCCAATCTTGAAGTTTTGTATAGATTTTACCCAGCTGTAAACTGAACCTTGAAACCTTTTCTTAATAACAGATTCTCCAATTATTTTATTTTTAATATATATATATATATATATATATATATATATATATATATATATATATATATATATATATATATATATATATATATATTTTTACTTTTGTGATCATAGCAGTCATTGACTTTTATGCTTGTGCCCTGGCTAGGGTAGGGAGTCGGATACAAACAATATCGAATAGGAGACTGATTCCTCTCACATTCCCAAGTCCACTGAAGATGAATACTACAACACTTCTGCCACCCTCTATTTTAGTTTCTGAGCTGTCCATGAGTTGACTAACCAATAGGAAGGTTGAGATGTCGTATCTTTATTGCCTCACAGCTTGTGTAGGTTGTAATTAAAACCTTTGTTTGCCTACCTACCCCTAGATGATGATGTATATACAGTATAATAATTACTTGGTGTTCAAGCTGGTTATAGGGGAACTAAGCTGTTTTATATATACATACTGGAATTTGAAAGAAATGTTAACATTCTTCAAGCAATTATTTGACCAAAAATTATGCTTGATTAATGGCTTTGCTTTTGGTATAGGCTTGTACCTTTACATTAGAAATGTTGATAACCAAAGAGGAACAGTCTCTGCTTTTTCTCAAGAACATTTGACTGTTAAAAAAAATATTCATCTTTTTCCTCTTCTCATTATTGAAATGCAGCAGGTGATGTTAATAACTAGGGACATTTGTCCTGACCTATGTGATGAAAATATGAAAACAGTTTTGAGACATTATATCATTGTGTAGAAGGTAATACAAAAGTTGAGACATTTCAGTACATATTGTGTAGAAGGTAAATACAATGTGGAGACATTTTTAGACATACTGGACTGTATTGCGTTGAGGGTTATATGAAGTGGAGACGTTTCTGTCACATCATATTCAAGGCAATTCAGTGAGCATGTGGTAGTTTATGGCTATGGCTATCCACATTACTTACTAGAATGCAAAGAGTCCTTTTTGAGATAGAAATTATAGATTTTGTATAAAAAAAATGAAAAGCAGTAGCTATATAGTGGTATATAGCAGTGCACAAAAAACATCTATTATGCACCCAACAGTGAGATGGAGATTATAATGCGTGTTATTGATAGCTTATACTGTATTTCAGCGAAACTTTGTAGCATATACTTATTGCACATTGGAGCAGACTGTACATAGTGTTACACTTCAACTATACTGAATCTTCCTCCTGAATTGTTGCTTTATGTTAAAATTCTCAATGTAAATTTATTCATTTATAATAGATAGCAGAAGATTTTATGGCATATGATAATTGGATGATGTACTTCACATTTGAATTCTCTTAAAATGATAATGTCAATATTGTGCAGTTATGATAATCATGAGTAAAAATATTACTTAATTTTTTAAATGTTTCTATATTACTGGAATAAGGCTGGTAAAGTTTAAAGAATAAACAGGTGTTGAGTGTAATATTGTTTCTTTAACAGTGTAATAATTGACAAAGGTTTTATGACTGTTACTTATGACCATGGCTTTTCTCCTGCCCCCGAAATAAGGAAGTGCGGAAACTGTCTGTGGCTAAGTCACATATTGGCTACACCCAATTAACTAGTGATCAAATAATGTAATGATGCTGTGCTCCCTGTTGTCTGGATTGCATTGTCCTTCTTACTGCTATGTACGTATTTGTGACATATCCTGATTTTCAGGAGGATCCTAAGTTTTGCTTTCTTAATATTCCCTGGGGATCATTTGCCCCTCGATACTGTACTTTGCTCTGAAAATCCAATACCTTTGTCGCTCACCTCATGTCGTTTTGGTCTCTTGCTGACATGTTGAATGGTCCTTAGCATCTATTGTGTATCCTGTGACACAGATGGTGCTACATAGTCTTCCCTGCTTGGTGCCGTTTTTTGATAAATACTAAACTTAGTGGCAAAGAGATAGATCTACACCGCACTGTTCCACTAACAGTTGCATATATTTTGCCTTCGAAATATTCGTTTGAGTAATGGTCATCCATAAATTCCTCTGTGAATTTGACCTTTCTCTCGTCTTGTCTCGTTGCTCTCTCATCGACATCTTGAGTGAAAAGTAGGAACTGTTGAATATTGTGACAGATGGTGCTGTCTTAATAATACAAATAATAATTGATTTACAAGAAGGTACAATGGGTTGGTAAGATTACATAAAATTCGCATTTGTACATTCTTGCAAAGCCACTAACACCCATTAGCGTTTCGGGCAGAAAATTTTACCATTGGATAGGACAGGCTAAATGTTCAATATTGTTTCGGAATATATTTTACTGCTGATTATTTGAAAGGCGAAGTTTTAAGCTGCAGTGTACCTCGAGGTCTATTAAATCTCCAATCCAAATGTTATTAACCAATTATATTTACAAAATATAAATTATATCAATTTGTAAAATAAACATAATATAAAATATATGTTGACCAGACCACACACTAGAAGGTGAAGGGACGATGACGTTTCGGTCCGTCCTGGACCACTCAATCGACTTGAGAATAGGACGGACCGAAACGTCGTCGTCCCTTCACCTTCTAGTGTGTGGTCTGGTCAACATACTTCAGCCACGTTATTGTGACTCATCGCCTGCCTATAAAATATATAATTTAATTTTCAGTCCAAAAAATTAAAACGAAATTATATTTACAGTTGAGTAATAAATTTTTCTGTAATTATACTTTGCGTCATGTCCAGCGTACGTGATGCAAATAGGTCTCTAAAACTAACTCTACACAAACTAGTAGTAAAATCATCATTTGACGGTCTACCATTTAAATACCAAAACACGATTGCATTACTAATGTGTATACTCGTATGTATAATTGCAAAAACACTTGGATCAGTTATGCATAACTATTCACATAGAAAAACTACTTGAGTGCTTTTATGTGTCAATACATTTTCAATGTACTCGAAAATGTGTAAATACACATTTTGCTTTCCTATATGGATACTTGTGTGTATATTTTATGTATTATGTATGGCATGTAAAGGAAACAAGTTGAACAGTGCAAGAGTACTTTTATTTTTGGCATACATCAAACTAGTTTTTTGTGAAAAAAACTATGAAGAACTAAAGAGGATCAAAGATATGTTTTGACAGACAAGCCGAGTTTCAAAAGCAATATGTTGACAGGGATAAACTATATAAAGGAACTGAAGCTTTTGCGCCACTAATAGGGCTCAAAGAAATTGAGTCTAATTGGGCTCAAAGTCAGACACATCCAAACTAAATTCCTGTTAGTAAGGGGAAGACATGTTTTCCAACAACTAGCTTAATTTAAATTGTATCTTATTCTTCCATACTAATGATACACTTATACAAATTTTGTGAATATGTATTTCAATACCTTGACATTTATAGTTATATGTAACAAGTGGGGAAAACTAATGAGTAAGTGCGCTTTTGGCTTTCATGGTGGGTTTGATACCTTTGGCACTATCTCGAGATGATAGTATTTGGTACTATCATCTGGTACTTCTTCACCGTTCAGAGCCACACCTGGCGATAGTCATCGAGGCTTGGTGCCTTCTTTTGATAGTTACTTCTGGGTTGGATGTAAATACAGATGACTCTGGGTCTTGGACGAACATGAAGTGACAAGGTCACTCATGTGAGTACAGTTATACAGCACCTGACACCCCAGTCTTGCGATTTGCCAAACGTTTAATAATTGCCTAACGATTTGCTTAACGTTTAACGGTGTGCGTTAAACATGTGGAGAGGTTATCACAAACTGCTACTACAACAGCACTACCCTTGTAATTGTCAATATACCTATGCTTAAACTAATGTCTATAATTTATACTAGACTTGATGCTATAAATTTTGTTAAGTTAATAGGAGTAACATCGACCAGGCAATGAATGGATGATAGCCGTTGACCGCCGACTCCTTACAGATTATTCTGAAACATGCAAATATATATATTAGCACTGACCACAAGCATAATAAAACCATGTAACCCCCCTCCCCCCACAGTATATAAAATTAGACGATTTTTGCACAGTCAAAATATAAAAGGTTGGAAAGTTAGTTACATGTCGTTCCTAGCCTTTTAAGGGGCTGCGCAACAAGGTGTTGTCTTGTTTTTATCTTGTTGTCTTGTTGTTGTTTTTATCTTTTCTGTTTACCAGTTTAATTGTGAGTCGAGAACGAACCCGACTGTACTACCGGGACCCTTAATTTTGCCGCTGATTTGGTAATTAGGTACCTTGAGTAGACCACTGTTGACGTTGTCCAGGGTGGCGGTAGGGTTGGTCAGTCTGCACCTGGCTGTGGTGATTACGGCGGAGGCCAAGAACGCTGGCCGTGTTGGAGGCCGAGAACGCTGGCCCGTGTTGGAGGCCGAGAACGCTGGCCCGTGTTGGAGGCCGAGAACGCTGGCCCGTGTTGGAGGCCGAGAACGCTGGCCCGTGTTGGAGGCCGAGAACGCTGGCCCGTGTTGGAGGCCGAGAACGCTGGCCCGTGTTGGAGGCCGAGAACGCTGGCCGTGTTGGAGGCCGAGAACGCTGGCCCGTGTTGGAGGCCGAGAACGCTGGCCCGTGTTGGAGGCCGAGAACGCTGGCCGCGTTGGAGACCAAGAACACTAGCCGTGTTGGAGGCAACATTCCCGCTCAAGCTGCCATGTTAGCAGGTATGTCTTGAATGTTAGTTTGTTCCTTGTAAGGAGGACGTGATGTATTTTGATTCTCAGTTCTTATAGGTCTAGGGGACCACACGTTCGTGCGTCTGTGTTTGTACTCACAGACCACACGTTCGTGCGTCTGTGTACTCACCTAGTTGTGCTTGCAGGGGGTTGAGCGTTGGCTGTTTGGTCCCGCCTCTCAACCGGGGTACATGTGGACTTGTGTGTTTCGGGTTCTTGTCAGGTTTATTATGAATGAAATTTCACATACACCTATATATAAGTAACGCAAAAATATAAAAAGAGAGTTGATTATGTGTTGCTATTTACAAATATTCTAGAGATTTCATCCTTACCTTCACACGGTCCATCGTAGAGGCGAGTGAGACTCATGCTGAAGCAGCGAGCATTCTCCAGCATGCATGTATTGTAGTAGGTCTTCTTGTCACTGCCGCACACAGGCTCCTTCACCTTGGGGCAGTACTGTGGGCAGTACGCTGCCGTGGACAACACCAACATTGCAAGCAATAAGTCACAATAACATGGCTGTAACATATTACCCTGTCTATATATCTACTTATAAATGGGAATGTCTATCAGCCCGAGGTTGGAGGACAGACGCCTCGATCAGTTTATCTCGGTAAATACTGTTGGATACGGGCACAACATGACTGGGACGTGTTGGGGCGGGATTCACGTTAAACAAAACGGCGCCACGTGAGACTGGGCCAAAGAATTTAAAGCTAGTAGGCGGGGCATGAAGAGCTAGACCTCACTTCCCCGTAGACCCTAATAGGCAAGTACTAATAGGTATGGCTAAACTTGTACACAAGCGAGTCTGGTCTAAGACCTGGGAAACGAATGCAAGTCTTCGCTATTCTTTTAAAGAAGTCCATTTAATATTCTTTTAATACTATTATTTATATGTAATAATATAATAATAATATTTAGGACGTGTGTGACGTCATATTATTCTTACCAGTACACATTCTAAACCTTTAGATCGAACTTAACTGAAAAGGTTTATACTGAACACCCAGAGTGAGTTAGGTCACTTGTTTCTCTATAGTTTTAAATATAGATACGACTAAAATTGGGTCGAAGGTTGTTAGACCAACCAGTCGATAACTAAGGAAAGGGACGGAGTTGGAGTTAATTACACCCCCCTACCACCAAACATACACACACACACACACACACACACACACACACACACACACACACACACACACACACACACCAGAAAGGGTTGGCAGCCTGTTCAATAACCTCACAGAGACACAATGATCGCAAACGCTGAACAAAAAAAATGCTCACATACAGAACGCAAAATGCTCGCATACACTGAACAAATGCTCGAAGCTACTGCACAAATATACTCGCGCGTGCATACATGCTTATACTGGACGAGTGACTGTTGACCAATACTCACAGCGGCATGGTCCACGATGCCTCAGTGTCAGTGTTGGATACTTGCACTGGTCGACCTGGAATGCACACAGACTGAAGTATGTCTTGCGGTTGCTACCACACACCACCTCCTTGGTCGTCCGGCCACACTGACGATCACACTCTCTCTTATTCTCTGAACATAATTAAATAATAGTCTATAAATATTTATTAAAGTTAAGGTCCATAAATATTAATAAATGTTAACATCTCTTATTTTCTGAATACAACACAATTTTATGTTAGTTCACAAATGTTATTAACATTTATGGACCTTAAAATTTATTAAGTGTTAAAGTCCATAAATGTTAATAATAAATAAGATTGTGAATTGTTGCTAAATATTGCAGTCAGCTCATCATCAAATGGGTCAGAATGTTGAAGATTATAGTGGCGGCAGAGAAACGGCTTACTTACGCCAGTATTCAACTCACCACATTCCCCATAACTGACAATATTCCGGCGTGGTGGGTAGCAGTTACTTTCGCTCAACAAGCAGGAGCTGTTAAAGGTTACTCCGTAGTTAGTGCAGACGGGGTTGTATTCGTCGGGATCACAATGTCTTAGGATGCAGTTCCATACTGAAATAACGACAAATATTTCATTTGTTGTCTATATTTTTTTTTTTTTGTTGTCTATAGGTGACCTCACTTCTGTTTTTGTTAACATAACAGTATTTTTATTAAGCAATCACTCTCGAATACTCATTGTATTAACTCGCCACACATTCGTTATATCAACCTACCACACTCTCCCTCTGATGCGAAAGAGATACTGGGGTCTAGACATCCTGCCTGGTCAAGTTCGCAGCGATTTGCGTAGGTCAGGCGGTCACTCCCACACACCGGTTCTATCACCGTGGGGTCACACGGCTTCTCGGGGCACGTGGGAGCTGAAATGTGATGGGTATTATAGTGAGCTTTGGTGCGCAAGTGGTCAGGGAGGTGGTGGGGGTGGCTGTGTGGTGGCGGGGGGTGGCTGTGTGGTAGAGGAAGGGTGGCGACAGTACCGAGAGAAATGTCTCGCACAATTCACGTGTTCTTAAAATTTGTGAAATGAACGTGCTTTCATGCAGTACTTTCTGCATCAGGTGGACATCGTATATATATGAACCAGACGAAGCCTCCTTCAGATGCGAGCCTTCCCCAACGGATCCGTCTTTGGGGTTATAATGAGTAGTACCAACTTTCTCCCTACATAGGGTCGGGGGTCATAATTGGCCCAATTTTCCCTACGTGGGGTCAAGGGTCATGAGTGGGTTTAAAAGGAAATTTGCATCGCCTCCAGTAATATAAAACTGTAAACCTTGGCTTCCATCACCCTTTTGTAAACAAACTTCAAATTACAACAACAAAAATAAAAAATAGTAAAATAATAATCCAGAAGAATAATATCAAGAAATTCATATTTAGAAGAGAGAGGCTAATAACAACGGGGTTGTGGTTGGTTGACAGGATGGTTGTGAGTGGAGGGCAGGATGGTTGTGGATGTAAGGTACGAAAAGTTGTTGGAGGGGGAGACTCACCTGGGTCACCTACTCATCTGACTCACCTGATTCGCCTGACTCGCCTACTGTCCGCAAAGTGGCAGTAGGTGAGGAGAGAGCCTGACCCACTAGCACAAGCAGGAAGAACACCTCTGGCAGCATCTTCACTCGCCTCATAACCTGTACCCAAGAGTTATAATGTAATACAACAGTTATGTAATATGCTATCTATAACTTAAGCTTGTAAAAACAATTTGATCACCTACTGTGGTTTCAGTCCTCAGTAATAAATAACATCACGTGGATTACTACGAAAAAGATTATGCCCATCTAAGACACTGGAAATATGTGAAGTATAATAAACCCCACATTGAGTTAGAAAGCACTTTTTGACAAATATAAATACTGGCCTTAAAAAGTTCTACCACTTTGCCCCTGTAGGATAAAGTAAACTTGAGAGTTGTAAGGTCTTAATCCCTTGTTTCATAGTCAGTTCACTGGAGACAGTTAAGAAAGTCCCAGCTGTGACTGGGTATAAGTGACAGGATGAACAACCCAGCGGAGTTTTTTCCTATTCGGGAGTATCGTACATGCTGTTATGGCGGTGTGTTCACTCACAGGATGGTTGACGCTGCCCAATACTATCACTCAAGCGGTATGTTCACTCACAGGGTGAATGTCACTGTCCAATAAACTTGCCCTCCTGGCCAAACATAAAACAAACACTATATGTCCTGTATACCAACACCCTTGCCCTGTCAAAGTCAGTGAGACGAAAATATGTAAGTAGTATGTGCTCTTCAGCATTGTAATTTGCATCTTAAAAACACATTCTGTGATTGAGTAATAAATAACTAGCTGCGATATACAATATGCTGTTTAACAACTCTAAAACCCTGTAAGACAGACGGAATATATATATATATATATATGCTGGGCTAACATTGTTTAAATTTAGACAATCTATAGTAGAAAATTTGTTATAAACTTTGCACGAAGTTATACTAATTCGGAATTATTCTAGTTATGCCAAGTAAATATCACTATCGATGACATGTAATTATTATTATTATTATTATTGGTACAGGAAGGACATACCAGACACATAACAGGGTCATCGTACATTTTGATTTAAATCTTTTATTATGCAGCCTGTAACCCTCCCCGTGGGTGGTGGTGGTGTAAAAAGCATAGAGGCACATTTGGTTACAGGAGCTGAACACCAAATTTATTTAGCTAAGCATGCTACAGACTTGAAAAGCTAGTTACAAAGTTTAATATGCATGTATTAAACTTTGTAACTAATAAAATTATATTATATATATATATATATATATATATATATATATATATGTGTATATATATTATGTGTATATATATATATTATATATATATATATATATATATATATATATATATATATATATATATATATATATATATATATATATATATATATATATATATATATATATATATATATATATATATATATATATATATATATATATATATATATATTATATAAATAGTTTGTTATGGCATAATGGGTTCAATAACAGGACCACAACAATCTTAAATAAGCACTCTAACCACCAATAATTAAATAGTTATACCTCTATTAACCTACCACACACTCGCTAGACAGTACATAACATTACCATTAGAAATGTTTATACAAATATCAGAGCTAACTAACACTGACCTGTCTCGCTGTGTGGGCAGAGGGCAGAGAACAGTTTACTAGTAGATCATCTCGGACCCGCACCTCGATTTCTCCTCCTTGGAAAAACCAATACACGCATCGCAGCCAGCAGCACGATGCCTTCAATTTTAAAGCATTCCACATCATCCATGCTGAGTTTACTAGTAGGATTTATGTGTTTAAAATATGTGAAAATCACATGCTATTTATTAAGCCCTAACCTCTTAAGAGTTGTGTATTCGGGTAGTTATTCCCCGACATCTATGAGAATTGCGAACAAATTGTTTGAAATATAATCAAGAATAATTGATGTGAAAATCAGGACAAGAACCTTCCTTTGAGGTTGTGTGTGTGTGTGTGTGTGTATGACAGTTTTATCTGTACGTCAAGTTAATTTCGAATACATTAGGATCCTGTGAAGAGGCATGAACGTTACATTGGTCACATCTACAACAGGATACATGATGTTAATGAATTCTTAATTAATAAAACGAAAATTTGTAATAATAATAAAATATACACACGATCATGAAACTCGTTTTGGAAACAGGTTGCCAATATAGCCTGTTGACCAGACCACACACTAGAAGGTGAAGGGACGACGACGTTTCGGTCCGTCCTGGACCATTCTCAAATCGATCTTGAGAATGGTCCAGGACGGACTGAAACGTTGTCGTCCCTTCACCTTCTAGTGTGTGGTCTGGTCAACTTACTTTAGCCACGTTATTGTGACTCATCGCCTACATATAGCCTGTTTATACCAGAGTTGATTTTAGGTACCAGCAACTCTGGGAATTACCCGAATTAAATCGCTTAGCTGAGAGGTGTTTCGAACCAATTCTTGAACTAATTGTGCTGTAAAAACTACTGATGTATACATTAAACTGAGTAACTAGCTTATCAAGATTGTTATTTGATTAGCTAAATGAATTTTAGAGGCCAGTTCCTGAAGCCATTGTGTGCCTCTGTAATCAATTCGACACCACCTTCAGAATGGTTATGGGGGTCCACTACCGCCCATGAGAAGGGTATGGGGTCGTATACTGCCAACGGGATGGATATGAAGTCCACTACAGCTCATAAGATGTTACGTGGTTAAGGCTTTTAGCTTAAACTATTTTGATTTAAAGCTGTCTATGTGTTCAGAGTTTTCTATGGCCCAGGAGCATGTTTGGGATTGAAGTATTGTTGCTGGTTGAATAGTAGGCTATTGTAGTGGCCTGAATAACCTTCTAGAAGTTGATAGGCCTTCAACCCAATAATAAACCAAACCACCTTTCACTTAATGTATACTAATACATGCAAGTGAATATTCACAGAGTTCACACTGAAAATAAGTGAATCAGTGCGTGCTGGTTGGTCAGTAAACTAATGAGGTAGCCATAATAACCGTCCCCTGTTGATTGACATTAGGAGCAACACCCAGCCAACTCTATGGCTCCCAAATATCCTCGTTTTCTATGCATCATTAGGTTAATAAGTAGGTTGCATGGATTTGTAAGTTTCTGGTTATAGATTATGTTAGGATTTAGTATTTTGTACGTTGCAGCAAATCCAGAGAAGGGGCGGGGTATGATCGCCTGACGTACGACAGATGAAAGTTGTCCCAAATGTATGTTTGCTAGATGTTCAGTTAACGGTATAAAACGTACACTAAATAATATAATTGTGAGCCATACGTCTGCCTCATTATGGTCGCCAGACTTATATCTAAAGCCACATCAGATTACTGACCAATCGACAAGCAAACTTAACCTACATAAACATTTCAGAACTAATACATGATTAAACAATATAAGATCATGATTTCAAAAGTTGATTCTTTCGAAACAAATTGATATACCCAATGACATATGACGCCTTGTCAAGGGTTACTCAGGATAAGACAAACATGGAAAGCCTCTGGTAGTGTGTGAACGGATGTTACGATCTTACTCCACGCCTGTAGTATAGATAAGAACACCTGAAAGTTTACGAAGTCCCAAAAACCCAGGATGTTTATAAATTTACGTACTTGAAGATCATTTAGTTTGCTGTCGTTAATCCATTTAACATTCGAAGTGCTATTGGTTACATCATGAGTAGTTGATTATTGCCCCCTCTCTATTTTGTTTTCAGTTTCATTTAATTGGCCGAGCGCATCTGAATTTCGTCCTCTCAACCTATTACGTCTCATTTGGTAAGTGACGGCCCCCTACGTACAAATTTCAAAATACTATGAAAAGTAGCGGGTCACAAAAAATCCATGTTTTCTATGCATCGGTTGGTTAGGTTAGGTTTGTTGTTTGGGTTTGTGGTTTCTAGTTGGGGTAGAACTTTCTATTTCGTACGTTGTGGCAAATCAAGAGAACGGGTTGTTTTGTGATGCCATGCAGGAGCTTAAGATCATCTTTCCAAGGATTGAACTTCGTTATTGGATAAATATTGCGAGTATGATTTTCTAAGACCAGCCGACATCTCAATGCAATTAAAACCTTTGAGTTGCCCCTATGAATTGTTGAGTTTACGAAGATGTTGGATGAATTAATTTTAGGAATAGACACTGCCAAAGGCATAGAAGCACACTGTTGCAGTATGCACAATCGACTTTCGGTTCAGGACGGACCGAAACGTCGTCGTCCCTTCACTTTCTAGTGTGTGGTCTGGTCAACATACTTCAGCCACGTTATTGTGACTCATCGCCTGCGCATAGAAGCATACCTTGAAGGAGAAATATCAGTAAATTGAAAATGAGTCCTGCACAACAGCTCTTGCATGATTGGGGGACGAGTGTCAGGGAAATCACAGAGTGGTAGGGTATTCCTCAAGATGCTTGATGTAAAAGTAATACAAACAGGGTATTGTTATCATACTCGAAGAGTGGACACAACTCAAATTTTACGAGCAGGATTCATGACAAAATAAAATACAAATGCCTGACGACGATGTACAGAAACACTAAGATGGGAGCATATTTTATCATGATATAAAGATCTGATTAAACTATTATACCGTATAGATCAAACGTTATCCGCAAATCTGATTTCAACTAAGTGTTTTCTAGCAAGACCCATTGGAGTAGAGATAAAAGAAAAAGATATTCAATTTTGTATATCGGGAGCCTTATGACTCAAGCTTGAGATCAAGTTAAACTATTAGGCCAAATCTTCCCTACGAATTCAATACAAAATCTCATAGAGATGGAGCCACATCTCAATCGCCCCCAGATATGAGAATTAGTATCTAAACCAGTGTTTCTCAGGGACCCAGATCCCAGGTTTCCTCAGAGTACATTTTTCCATAGTTTGGCGTTCCTCCTCTGATGAATAGGAGCCCGTGCTCCTCATGCCATGGTCTATTCATGCCCGTGCCACCCAAGAGGTTGCACGGGCATGAATAGCCGGTAAGTTCCTCCTCTGTTTGTCATTCCTCCCCTGGCTTAAATCCCTATGCTTCGCTATTAAATATTTTCCCGGGAATCAAAGTGCCTCCTCTTTGAGAATTACTGATCTAGACAAAGGCGAATGGGGGGGTTGCAAGAAGTAAGGATGTCAGGATAAATTGGACGTGAAAGTGAGGCTTATGATACTAGTAAAGAAATAAGGTTACAGATACAAGGTTTCGATAACAAACTAGTAATGAGTTTGAGTTTGTATTATTAGAATATGCCAAAAATATTGCTTTAGTGAGAATTAAATATTACTGAAATTCTAATTGCTGTAAAAATATAGAATTGAGATCAGTCGTTGGAGAATCAGATTGCAAAGAGTGAGATTCAGTGAGAGCTGCAGGATGAACACCACGACTGTAGCATGAGTACCGCAGCTGAAGTACCAGGGATCCCGTTCTCGCACTTGCTTATAGTCGATATCATGCTTATGAATAAGTGCATATGTGACATACCAATTTATTGTGAATATTTGAGTTTACCTTGAAAAGCTGAATAGAAAACCACAACCTAACCTAACCTTCTTAGTATTTTAATTAAAATTAAGATATTACAATTAATACTGAACCTATACCTATATTGATATTACAGTTTTATCAAAATAATAACCGAAATATGAATTAATAGAAGATTGAAGAAACAATAAAAGTATGAGGATCCCAACATTGAATTTGTGAATAGTAATGACAAATGAAGGTAAATATCAGGAGAAAGCGCCAAGCCATTACGATTATATACCATTTGAAAGGGATCGGGAAGAGGATTTGGGATGGGATAGGGGGGGGGGAATGGTGTCCAACCACTTGGACGGTCAGGGATTAAACGCCGACCTGCATAAAGCGAGACCATTGCTCTACCGTCCGGCCAAAGTGGTTACAAGTTTGAGGATCACAACTGAAGTATGAGGAAACTGCAATATGGAGTTAGCAGCATAAGAATGTACAGCATTAAGTACGCTGTGAAGATCTTGGATGAATAACAAAAAAAGGACAAGACGACGAGACAGAGCCCTGAGTAACGCCACTGATAGCAGAGACGGATGTTATGTTTCAGGCTCCTCCATCTGGCTATTACTACAGCACGGCTCATCCGGCCACAGTCCCTCTTTGATGTTCACAATAGCGTGAACATTTTTGTTATGAATATTTACATATATGTAATGGTGTATATTTACACAAGTGGGTACAAAAGCAGCCGACTACTGACTCCTGTTGGTAGGTTGAGAGTTTTCTCATCCCATAGTTTATGGTAAGCCTTTTACACATGTACGAATGACGCACAGTGTATAACTCGTTGGAAAGTATTCAGTTTTAATGGTTCACAAACCAAATCGAGATGAAACATTCAATTTATATTTGTTAATATTAAAGGGTAGTTATTAAATATGGGTTGGTTAAAAATTCCTCCATTGTCAAATCACATTTATTAATAAAATTAATAATAATAAGGAGAAAATTGCTAAATTGCGTCAAAATCTTTATAGCAAAATTGGAATGTCATTCAAGAACTCATGAAAGAAGTTTAAGAATGTATATAAATGAACAGAGTATCAAGTGATATATATACACCGAGAAATGTTCCCCCATTTCTCGGTATAAATACACTTGAAGTCAGAGTTTACTCTGAGTTCAGGACTAAAAATGTATTATCTAGTTGATCAGTAAACTATTGGGCCCTTAATAACCTTCCAATGGTTAATAGGCTTTAAGCCCAACATCAAACCCATCACGAAAAGTTGTCTGCTTCCCGACTGTCCCTCGCGGTTCTTTATCCTTCAATAGAATCCTTGGTGGATCAGATACCTTTGATATCGCTCGCCTTATGCGCTTTTGTTTTTATCTTATTTGGAATCCTTAGTGATATTTAGCGCCTTTTGAATACCTTCGATGGTGTTAAATAGCCTCCCCGGCTTGGTGCCTTCTTTTGATATTTACTTACTTTCTTACTTAAGAAAAGTTAAGTGAGATTGTGAAAACCTTAACCGGAAATTGTACTCGAGTCACTCTAGTGTCAAATCAATCAAATCAAATCAAAAGCTTTATTCTTAAATGTAAATCAAAAGGTTTATTCATAAATGGTTGTGCATTTATAATTGGGAAAGATTTTGTGACTGTTTACCAATCAGCTTGACGTCAGTTGTTGGTAAAACAATGGAAATTTTGTGCAATATTTAGTTTCCTTCCAGATCAGGGGTTCTTAACCTCATAACGATTTCAGAACCTCCCAATGGATTATTCAATGTGCACATGCACCAACACTACTTAAGGACACTTGCGTGGCATGAAAGAAGTCCCTCAGACTGACCTGTATCAAAGTGCCATAATGAAACTTGCATACAATTAACATCACACCCGGCTGCCTTTATTTAAATACCTCAGTCACCCATTAAATAATTTTATTTTAATTTCTTATTAGATTCGATAAAGTATTTAAAGACTGAAAATACTAATACTAATAATTAGAATAATTATAGCAACAAACCTGAGCATTAAAGTCTTGTGAATATTTATCAAAAAATTTAATATTTGAACTTTTTGTTTTTATTAATTTAAAAATATTTGACATGAAGTTGGCAGTAATTACTAACTAGACTCAGAGTATAATTATAATTTTAACTTTCTTATTTGAAAGACTAAATATTTGTAATCCGTAATATGGGATAATATAATGCCATAAGTTAAATTTAATGCTGACTTTTTTAAACATGGAAAATAAAACTTAAATTTTTAGTTAAATTTAAATTTTCAGAGCATCGAACCACCGACCACAAACGCGATAGCCAGCAACTCAAGCCACCACAATACTGAACACCCACTATAAAGAAGGATCTCAAATATACGCAACTGGTATCCAATTGAGACGTTAGACCTTCCCAGGGTTATTGGTTAGCAATCTGGGGGCGTGGATCACCTAACCCCAATGGATTAATCAATAGTTTCTCATTCTTCCTACGGATTACCCAGTTTGTCGCCGTGTTCTCTATGGATTATCTAATGTGTACTAACACCCAATTCGCGAGAATGTCGAAATCATCACTACTAGTCCTATTATTTTTTTACCTTTTGCTTTAAAATTGCACTGTATCTATTGCTACCCAATCTTTATGTACCCAATCTGAACATCTTTATCATTGTGATCATTGCTGTCTTCTTATATGTGCTTTCAATCTGCTGTATGGTGTCTATTAATCTTGTTTAAATTACCAATGAAGCTTTCAGTGTAATCAATCAGAGCTTTAATATACCAATGTGCTTTAATATACTTACTAATCTCTCTCATCTCTTTTTTTTCTTGTAATGTATTTGTTATCATTTTATTAATTCTGATAGAATTTACCTACTTAAAATTATCTGTTAGATTAAGGACCTGCCCGAAACGCTGCGCGTACTAGTGGTTTAACAAGAGTGTAAATACTGTACTATGCTATGTATTCTCACAAACCCAATGTACCTTCTTGTATATAAATAAATTAGGCATCAGTATGACTTCACAAGATATCAATAGCTTTGTTTTATTTTATATATGAATAACTGAAAGAAAATCATATGGATTTTATCATATTTATTAAAAAAAAGGCAAATCACAAATGCAAGTGATGGGATTTTTTTGTGCACTCAAAACATTGGAAATCGAGTTACATTTACTGTCAGTGATAGTTAATTTTAATCTAACAACTATTTAAAAATTGCTCGAAGATCGAATATCCATGCCCGGGGTATGAATCCCTGATCAAGTCGAAGATAATTAACATATTTTTAGAGATATTGTTCCTATTCAACAAATGTTATTGATTTAGTTGAATACATTCTATTTAATATAGATGACGAGAGCAAGATAACATACATAGATTTATCAGAAACGATGTAATAACTTTTAAAAAAAATTTAAAACTGAATGAACATGGTATAGTTGGATGTGTATCAAAAGAAATCAAAAATTGTATAAACGCAACCACTGTTTACTTCAAAACACAACAATAGGAATGGCTAGGTAAAACAAGTCGTGTGCGACAAGGACACTTTTATGATTTTCTTGATTTACGTTATAGGCAGATATTTAACTTTGCAATATTGATAAATGAAGTTGAAAATTAGGAGGTAAATAGATTGTTTTAATTCATATCATCACTTGGTTTCTCAACGTTGTGTTGAAGGCCAGTCACCTGCGGGAGGGCATTGAGAACATCGCAAGAGCGTAATGTCTAAAGAGCCAATATACTTTAGTCCTGATTATTCTATAATGTTCGGGACTTGAGTAAATTCTCGGTGTATATACACAGAAAAAACTAGAGACATGAATTAGAATGTATGAATGAATATTTTGTTTGCGAGGTCATCTTTTTTTTCAAAATACTTCGTAGCTATGACCACCGTATCCTTATGAAATCCTTTGCTCCGAGCAATTATGATAATAACAAGACAATCATAAACATTGTGAAACTTGTGATATACCTGAAATCATTGTCTCGAAAAGAGACAAAGAAAGAGGCAATATAATATAACTTTTAAGATTATCAAAAGATATGACAAACTTTACCGACGAAAAAAATGTATTTTAATATTATATAAAAATAATAATCAGTATTATCTTGAAAATTGCTGGTAAAGTATTTAATTTCAAAGACCATAATTATTTTTTATAAAGTCCATAAGATATAAAAAGGATTAGAATATTGGAAACATTTTCGTAATGATTTGCAATGTCTATAGAAACTGACGTTCCTCTCAAAAGTTGGGCCCACAATAGTTCTGATATTCAGTTGAACATTTTATCTGTTAACATGTATATTGGCTTATGTAACAGACTTAAGTAACTGACACAATTTACATCTGAACAATTAGAATAATAATTATTAAAATTATTAAATAGGCAATTTCATCTTGTAAATTAAGACGAACCATATCTTAATTCTCACAATTCAATCGATATTATGAATGGAAAGTGATCTACTACTTTTAGAGTTGCTTATCTTCCCTGCTATCTGATTCAAATCAGTTAAGCTTGCACAACGATATGAAATTAACGCGTTTAACGTGTTCTCTCTCTCTCTCTGTACAAACATGAAATTATCTAGTTTATATTACGCTTATCTTCTGAGCGTAAAAACCTCCTCCTAACAGTGACATACATTGCACCTGCTAGATGCCAACTCAACAACAAAGCTGGCTGGGAATCCCAGCTCAGTGTCGCTAACCAGCGAATACTCGGTACTGTTTACAGTAATAATACACGAGTGTGTCACTTAGATGGGCGTGACGTCACCATTAACGTTATCAGGGCTCCATATAAACATGTGATCGTCTCGTTCCTCTTCACTTTCGCTTCAAACTTCACTCCCTACAGTTGAGCCGCTGCTGCTCTTCATTTCACCCGTCTACGCCTTATTCAGGTTTGTGTTTAATGTCTATTGTCCAAAGGGTATGCGAGAGGTGTACACCGCTTTTCACTGCATATATATATATATATATAATATAATATATATAAATATAATATAATATATATAATATAATTATATATATATATATATATATATATATATATATATATATATATATATATATATATATATATATATATATATATATATTATATATATATATATATATATATTATTTTATCTCATTTGTTGTTTTATACGAATACTCTCTTTTATTTCATTTATGTAACTGGATAAAGTAACTATTGGGCCACGAGAGCACTAAGCAATTGTGACCATATAGAATTTGTAAGAAATACGAAGACAAGGAGCTGGGAAGTTCACTACGGACTTACAATAGCCCGTGCTACTTGGAACTTTTGTTCCGAGTAACTGAATCTATAACGATAACAACTATATGATAAGCTGAGATATGAGGTGGTGCTGGGATGTGAGAAGGAGCTGGCAGGGATATGAGGGAGGAGTAATAGAACGGTCCTCCATCAAACAGGAGAATGGGTACAACGCTTGAAACAGGTTTAGTGTTCTTACTTCAGGTACACTAACTGTACGAGGGGCCTCGTAGCCTGGTGGATAGCGCGCAGGACTCGTAATTCTGTGGCGCGGGTTCGATTCCCGCACGAGGCAGAAACAAATGGGCAAAGTTTCTTTCACCCTAAGTGCCCCTGTTACCTAGCAGTAAATAGGTACCTGGGAGTTAGTCAGCTGTCACGGGCTGCTTCCTGGGGTGTGTGTGTGTGTGGTGTGGAAAAAAAAAAGTAGTTAGTAAACAGTTGATTGACAGTTGAGAGGCGGGCCGAAAGAGCAAAGCTCAACCCCCGTAAAAACACAACTAGTAAACACAACTAGTAAACTAACTGTGGTTGCGTTACAGATTGTGTGGAGACAAGATGGCGCCCCGTGCTACTCTCCTGCTGGCGGTGATGCTGGTGGTGCTCGTTGCCCTCGCCCAGGGTACAAGTCCTACGCGTCCAGTGGGTGGGTTCCATGATACTTGTTAGCTGACCTGATCTCATTCTACCTATTAACACGCTTTCTCGTATTCCATTTTCATTCCTATTCCCTGTGCCAAGTTAACCTATCTTGTCCTCCACACATTTACCACATGTGAGCCGACACCCATTAACCACCAGTGGCTATCCACCCATATACCATCCCTGGCCCTCAACCCATATACCATCCCTGGCCCTCCACTCATTTACCATCTCGGGCAATTTTCAGAATTAATCCTAAATTCGTCCTTGACTACTTTACGGATTAGTATCGTCTACAACAAAAACAATATCCAGTATCACTTGTTATAATTATATTAGACCAAGGAAGAGGATGAAAGGAGTTTATAATGCAATTTACTTTGTGGATTTGTGATACTTCGGGTCTGTAGGACTACACCTAACACTGCACTGTCGGTCATATCCCCACACGCCCTGTTTCCTTCCATACACGCCATGTTTCCTCCCCCACACGCCATGTTTCCTCCCCCACACGCCATGTTTCCTCCCCCACACGCCATGTTTCCTTCCCCACACGCCCTGTTTCCTTCCCCACACGCCATGTTTCCTTCCCCACACGCCCTGTTTCCTTCCCCACACGCCATGTTTCCTTCCCCACACGCCCTGTTTCCTTCCCCACACGCCATGTTTCCTTCCCCACACGCCCTGTTTCCTTCCCCACACGCCATGTTTCCTTCCCCACACGCCCTGTTTCCTTCCCCACACGCCCTGTTTCCTTCCCCACACGCCCTGTTTCCTTCCCCACACGCCCTGTTTCCTTCCCCACACGCCCTGCTTCCTTCCCCACACGCCCTGTTTCCTTCCCCACACGCCCTGTTTCCTTCCCCACACGCCCTGTTTCCTTCCTCACACGCCCTGTTTCCTTCCCCACACGCCCTGTTTCCTTCCCCGCACGCCCTGTTTCCTTCACTGATAGTGCCACTTAGCAGCCTATCCTTTTTCGCTCCAATTTCATTAACTTATAATTTTTAAAGTTAAATATTAAATAATGTTATCTATCATCTATATATATTTTTTTGCGTTGTTTTCTATTTGTTCTATAATAGGTTTGAACTTATTTTAACATTCTTGTTAACTTTCTCTCGGTTAATGCCTCTCCATTCCATAAAGGAGTAAAACTATGTAATGATAAATAATTATAATGTGAAACTAACAAAATAAATATTACATGGTACCACCGTAGGTTTTGGCGAGGGGCCAATAGCCTTGGAGAAGAAAATAAGAAGCATTCAGAGAGAATAATTTGAATGTAATTTCATATCAGTATTTACTCTTAGAATAAATATATATTGTATATCATTTGATTCCACAGGAAGGTTATGTGGACGGTACTGCGGCAGGAACTTGAGACCAGTGTGTGGGAGTAATGGGCGGACTTACGGAAATGCTTGTTTATTGGAGAATGCCCGTTGCGCTGACAGCTCCATCAGCCTTCACCACGAAGGAGCATGTACAGAAAGAAGAGAAGGAGGAACAAGTAAGATAAGATTCGTAGTCTTAAAGGATGCAAGATCATTTGAAAAATATTACATATATCCTCTTAAGTTTTATGGTGTGATTGCGTGTATTTAGACTATTGAGCTTTTGCGATGACTTGTTAATTGGAGACTTTGTTCAATGCAGGGAGGTTGTGCGCCCGCTACTGCGGCAGTATTGCTCAACCCGTGTGTGGATCTAATGGGGTGACCTACTACAACCAGTGCATGCTTGAGATTGCTCAGTGCAACGACGACACTCTTGTCCGTGCCTCTGAGGGTGCATGCGCAGGTAAGAAACAATCTGTAGCCAATTAATTCTCTTGAAAAACATTGTTAACGTTTTTACTGCCTACAGTCTGGAAAACTTGGTGCCTTCCTCTGATAAATATATTTTTTCTAAGTAAGCGGTGTGTGAGAAAAGTGTAATAAGAGTTATTTTCTCTTATTTCATTAGCAACTGTAAAATTTTATTTTTCTTTAATTGCATTTGAGTAAATTTGTCTTTTTATATGTAAGTATAGCTGTACAACATATGAAACAATAGTTTAAAATAATATAATAATAATAATAATAGTAATATTGATTTATTTACTGCTGTAAACAATAAATTACAAGAAATAATTAAACTTATCTTTTTTTATGTTTAAGGAAAGATGAATATTAATACACTAAAGTGTTCCTAACAACTTTTCAATATAATGTCATCAATGTTTTAAAGTTATAATTGAATTTCATGCACGTCTAATGCAGTAAAATACAGCTGTGATTTTGTTCAGGGTTGGTAACTTGCAGGATTTCATGGTACTATGATCGGCAATAGAAATAAATTTAAATTATTTGGAACTTGATTTGGAAGTTTGTTATTGACAAATTTTAATGTATGCAGCGAATAAATTATTGTGCAGCCTTATGAAAAATTTTGCTAAGTAAATATGATTTTCGTATGACGAAAGATTACCCACTTCTGCCACAGCTTAGTTATATTTGTGTGAAATACACAAACTAAAAATATACTCTTTATTTCAGAATAAACTTGGAGGAGCGAGTGATCGATTGCCCCTATTGACCAGACGCGTTGCATGGACATTCTGGTGATAAATTTAGCGCAGTAGCTGATCTCATTTCATTACAAAACTTGATACTGAAGCATATCTACTTGCAAGTACTAGAGAGTACCGTAATTATTTTTTTGCTTCATAACTGTGGTGTGAAAATATTTGTTAATCTAATTGCATCGCTAGAAAAAGAAATTTGTTTTTAGATTACGAAATTTCAAACTGTTATCATGACCTAACCAAATCTATATTAGCCTGCCAATAACTAGGCTAAGGTATAGGTAACATCAACTAGTTAGGTATCAGTTAAGGTATAAGGAACATCAGTTAAGAGCAAATGCCTCTGGATTATCTCCAGGACTGTGCCGATAATTAAGACAGATTTTATATGTCAGGCCTATGTCATAAACAAAACTTTAAGACTTAGCTTTATCTTTCATATTTCATTACTATCTTTCTAGGTCTATGTTTAAGTTGTTACATATCAGTACTATCGTCTTTTACTAATAGTTTAATTACATATTAAATAAATATATGATATTATAATATAGACCAATTTCTCACTACCACCAGCCACACTTACTGCTGGAATATTTTACTATAGTATATTATCCTTTGGGAAATTTTATTATCCCAAATTATTAAAGTTTTAGTATTTTAAATATATTTTTTATTATTTTCCTTTGTATAAATTGATATTACAGCATATTTTGTGATACTAAAATGCAAAACTCTCAATATATTATGAAATGAATGCTTAAAGATAGGTTAAACAAAAAAATTATCTTTATGGGTTGACTGAAGAAAAAATCCCAATTGTAGATTAGGAATGGACGCTGAGGATGAGTGATGGGTTATATGGCCTTTGAGGATGAGTTATGGATACACATGTGGCACCAGGTTGAGTGATGAGTATATACGTGGCCCTTGAGGACGAGTGATGGATATATATGTGTCATTATCCCTTTGTACATGTCTTTAAATAAAAGGAGCTTTTGTACGATTTCAGTTTTATCGCACAAGTGGAATAAAGAGTTGAAACATTTTGAAAAGGCGCAACTTTTGAAGGATGTGCTCAAGGGGGAGCGACAGAGCTAAGGGTTCATTAGACTTTTTTCTCTCGCGACCCAATTCAGTAATATCAAATACCGAGACGACCCAAGTCTGACTCCGTGTGTTGGTACTGGAATCTCGACATTTGTTACAAGACAAACAGAAATATGTGGTAATTATTTTATATCATTCAATAGAATCTAATGAATGATCAAAACCCAAGGAAGATTCATTAGAATCTAATGAATGATATAAAATAATTTCCACACATTGTTCTTATTGTTGTTTTAGATTCAGCTACTTGGAACAAAAAGTTCCAAGTAGTACGGGCTATGGTGAGCCCGATTCTGCTTTGCACTCTTGATATAAATATTAAGATACCAGTGCCAAAACATAAGGACAATATGTTTAAATTTATATGCAAATTGATTGTTAGTACTCTTTTTTTATGCTTTATTTAATTAGGTTTTTTCACTTAAGGTCAGCAGTAATCAAGAATTAGGATTTGAGTATTAATATATTATTTAGATATGTGTATATTTTTTTTAATTATTTTAATAATCAGTTCAATTCTTTAACAATTAACATCATATTAACTGTCGACGGTAAGTAATATATTGTCGCTGTATTTATCAATTATTTTGGTGGTGGTGTTTGTCAGAATATATCTGGTGATGATCTGGTTGCGTGTAGAGACTATATGGTCCAAGATAGAGCCTTCCTGTTTGTGCACTGCCAGACCCATTGAAAAAGTTTTGGTTTTGTTTTTTGAAAGAGATGTTGTTGTGTCGTTTATACTGAGATCGATGGACTGACAGTCCCCAAGTGGGCAAGTGAAAGCATAGACGACATTCGTTCCTTTCAAGGTGTTTTGTTTGGTGTCAGGAAAGTTTTTCATGAGCAAGTTGACAGTCTTCTTGAATTTAGGGAATCTAATTAATTTAATCATTTGGTTGGAGTCCGTAGGGGGTTACATATTTATCAATGATGTCCTTCAGGACTCTTCAGCTTGTCACATGTATAAGCTAGTCACAAGATTGTTAATTTATTAGCTAAATGAACTATGGGGCTCAGTTCTGAACTCTTTTCACCACCACCCAAAGGATGAGTATGTGGTATAATAAATGACTAACTTAATTAAACGACATTTATTAGTCATGCATGAATGTATTCCTTGTAAATGTATTGAAACACGAAAACATTCAGAATTTTCATTTCATTCTTACTATGTAATAGTGATCACGTACCATGTTACATATTGTTTTATATTTTCATGTATCTGATTACCGATTTGAATAATTTTGACAATCAAAGAATTTATAATGAAATCAAGTAGCCAGTTCGGGGTTTCTCATTACACATTCTACTTATTGTTTTCGTGTTTCTATCGCATATCTTCCAAGCGTAAAACCCTGGAGTCTGGGGAATATTGTGATCTCCCTGGACAATGAGAGTAGTACGGGCATCCCCAGAATAGTGAAGCGTCATCAGAGTTCTATAAAGTCAGTGATTATCACGTAAATCATCACTTATCCTTCGGGCGTCACTACAGCATAGTAACTCCTGCTCAACACCTCTACTCCAGTCTTCATTTACTCACGTTAGTTTTTAATCTATATTGAGAAAATATAACCATACATATATTTGTATTTTATAAATATAAACATTATATTTATATATATATATATATATATATATATATATATATATATATATATATATATATATATATATATATATATATATATATATATATATATATATATATATATATAATGAAATCATTTTGATGCAATATAGTATTTCCCAGACGACTGCCCTTACTGATCAACTAGCAAGTTTGTTATTGGACTTGAGCCCTATCAACCTCTGGAGGGTTAGTGGCCGGCCATCAAGTGTCCTTTAGTTATCAACATAGTCCAAGACTAAAGAAAACTAATAATAATAATAATAATAATAATAATTTATTCACAAGAAGGTACAATGGCTTAGTGCGATTACATAAAATTGGTATTTGTATATACAGTCTGCAACACTAACACATAGCGTTTTGAGCAGGTCTTTAATCTAATATATCAAGTAAGATTGAAAAGGTACATTGTAGCAAGGTTTAATGTCATCAAATAATTACAATATAAATTGGCAGAGGTGACTACACCGGTAAAGATATATGTCTTAAGTACTAATATTGGGGAAGTGGGTAGTTCAAGATACAGTGTGAGTTTGAAGCACAGGGTAAAAGGATAAAATAAGGTACTTTTTTATTTTACTTTTACATTTAAACAGAGCAAAATTTGGATATTTTTTTTAATTCGTCAGGGAGTGAGTTCCACAGACTGGACCCTATTGTTTAAATTTAGTTTGACTGGGGATATCAAAGAGACATTTATTTAAGATGTGGTGCTAATGGGTTCTATTACAGCTATCAAGGAAAAGGTTCAGATCAAGATTAGCATTTTGGAGCAAGATTTTGTACATGCAAATAATACATGAGATTGAGTGGAGTGTGTGTTTAGCATGTTAAGGGACTTAAACAGAGGGGGTATGTGTTTTCTGAAGACAGAGTTTGTTATTATTCTGATAGCAATTTTTTTCTGAGTGATGATGGGCTTGAGGTAATTTATAGTGGTTTAACCCCCATGCACAGATACCGTATGTAAGAAAGGGATAGACTAGCGCGTAATACAATGAAAGGAGAGCAGAGTGGGAAACATAATATCTGATTTCAGAAAGTATACTGACCGTTTTTTAGACTTTTTGGTTCTGTGTTGTATGTGGGTGCTGAAGTCCAGTCTCTTGTCAATGTATAGGCCAAGGAGCTGTCCCCCATTTTCATTGCTAATGTTAACTTTGTCTATCTGAAGTTGAATTTGAATTGACGATTTACTAACAAATAAAATGCAGTAAGTCTTTTTGGCTTATTTTTGCCATATACACCAAAATGAAGGGTTTACCTTCCGATAAATGTACTTATATTCCTATGTGAAATTATTTAGTTTATTTATTTACTTTTTATCTCATTATTTAGTTTTTTCTGAAAACCCTGAAAGTATGGAGAATGCATAGGTTAAATTCAATACTGATGTTCTTAATGCTTTTCTGCAATATATTTGTTATTGCAAAATATTTTTAATAAATTGTAATTAAAATTGTGTTTGAAAGTGGTTATCTGTTCAAACGTAACTTTCTTAACTTTTGACTAAGCGCTGGAAGCGCGAATTCGGATTTTGGCTGAATATTTCGAGGTAAACTAGTTTCAAATTTTATTTCCACAGATTGAACGCAATCCATTTTTTTGTGGAACAACCTCTTGGTCTTTATATATTGCCCCCTAAGTACCTTCAACAAGCAGGAGAATCACACGTGAAGCACGTTTAGTGTACTATAGATGTGTAGTTGTGTTACAGGTTGTGTGGAGACAAGATGGCGCCCCGTGCTACTCAACTGCTGGCGGTGATGCTGGTGGTGCTCGTCGCCCAAGCGCAATCTCAATGTAAGTCCTCCTTATCCCTTATCCCTATAGTATCTATATGCTGACCTATATTATACCAAGTCACTCGTACCTAACACTGCCTTCCATCCTTCCCCCGTCCCTACCGTTACATGCTGCCTTCCTACCCCTACCCTTGTCCTTCCCTAACCTTCCACAATCCTATCCGGCTGCTTTCTAATCGTTCAGTGAAAGCTTGAGTATGAATGTAAGGTGGACTCTTCGACAATCCTAGCTTGACTTCAAGCCTTCATTACCGGCTCAAGTCAAACGGTGCTGCCTAAAATAGTACGAAAAATATATAATATATTATATATTACACAATATATAATATACGTATGTATTTTTATATTCACATAAAGGTGTTTCATTATACAGATACAGGTTGTAAAAAGGGATGCCCAAAGAACATTGATCCAGTGTGTGGCAGCGATGGGGTCACCTACAGCAATCTCTGCTTATTAGAGAATGCTCAATGTGACGATCCAACCCTCAGTCTCCAGTATGACGGCCCTTGTAAAGGTCAGAATCCTGGAATATACATGAACTTATATTTTGAATCTTTTATGTTAAATTAGGCTATTGGTCTGTGACGACTGAGGTGTTAATTAAACTTACATTTGATTACTTCAGAGGAAAAATGTCCGAATGGTTGTAATAAGAAACTTGACCCTGTGTGTGGTTCTGACGGCAACACCTACGGCAACCTGTGCCTGTTGAAGATCGCTATCTGTGAAGACCCGACCATCTCCCTGGCCTACAAGGGTGAATGCAGAGGTAAGATTCACATGGCGCCAATTAGCCTCCTGAGGCAACAGTTTTGTTATTTTACTTCTCAGCTTTATGCAATGAATGCTCCATAATATTAATAATCCAACTCTCCCATATGGATTGAAAACGACGACGTTTCGAGTCGTTCTGAACCTTTATCAGGTCATGACTAGGAAGAGTGGGAGTCAGTATGAGCCAAGAGGGAAGGTGTGTAGGGAAATCGGTTAAGTAAAGCACAAAAACTGAGCTAACATATGAATAATGGCTGCTTCAGAAGGCTAAATAGCAGCTAAACAAAGTAACTGGAAAAGGGAAGAGAAACTCGAAAATGGTGAAATATATGAGAGAACCAAACTAGATATACAAAGAGATATAAAGATAAAATATGGGAGAGCACAGATGAGGTAAAGATATTAAGAGCACTTGGATCAGGCTTTCACAAAAATACGATGATATTATCGTATATTATTATTATTATTAATATCTGGCGCTATTATGCTCTTCGGTAATATATATATTAAATATGCATTATTTGTTTCAGATTGATTTTGAAGGAACCACCGGTCTGCTACCACTGTTGACCTGACTTCAATCGTGGATTTTGAAAAATAGATACTACATATGGATTTTTACGAATAGATACTATATCTAGATTTTGAAGAATAGATGCTATATGTAGATTTTGAAGAATATATGTTCTATCTAGATTCTGAAGAATACATATCATATTCAGATTTTAAAGAATAGATTCCATATCTAGATTTGAAAGATCAAATAACATAAATAATTAATTTTTACTATAGGTATGGTATTAATGTTAATCTAGTTTAACCTAAAACTGAGGACAATGAATCTCTAAATACCACTCTCTAAAGACATTAGGCTTTCATATTGCTGAATTTTTGAAGGTCCAAACAGTTTCAATTATTCTGTCTAAACCTAAAATCTTTTAAAACAAAATGTATATTGATAATTACAGTATCTAAGTGATGGACCCAATAATAAAGTTCAATAATCCTTTTTGCTACCTTATCTTTTAAAACATTGAATGCTATTTTTTATTTTAATTTGTTACCGGCTTGGTTCAGCTTATCAGCCTCTAATGGGTTACTAAGCCGTAACTTGCATGATAATTTTTATCATGCAAGCAAAGGTCATTTGGTGGAAGATTATCCTAGAGGGCATCCTGGAAGATTTGTGTGGCTATTTATGAAAATGTTGTCTTAGGTGACTTAAATTGAATTAAGTTTCTTAGAAAATTCACAGGATCTGTGCTGTAGGCTTTACAGTATCTTGGCAGCCAGCATTAGGAATGTAGGTCTGGGTGCTTCCGATGTCATACTTCCAGCAGCACAAATTCCCCAAGTACTGCCAGAGAGAGAGAGAAATATTAATTCATTTGCTGTATTACATCAAGAACGCGCAATTTATATTACCATCTAAAACATATTTAAAGTAAAGAAAATATTATTTATAAATATTTTTAAGGGATATAAGTTTATATAAATTGAAATATTTCCTAGTGCTGCTAGAGATAGACCGAGAAATACATTCTCCCGCTACTGATGCAACGATAATGGTGATCTAGTTCGGAATTAGTCATAACCCTTACACTGCTCCAACTGCCAAATGTAATTTTTCCCATTTGATTTGGTAACTTTTTTGTAATCATTCGCACCTCGAATGAGGCGTTAAAAACTGTAAATCGTTTGCCTTATCCAGATCAAACTAAACTCTCAGTATACAAAGAATGAGAAGTAGGCTTCATCTGATAGTGTATATTTAATAGTATAACTGTTGTTTACTGTTATGTTAGTCATATGCAAACTTTACGTCCAAGGTTAGGTTAGGTTATCTACACCTAATTGTAAAAACTGATGTTAAATATCTATATATACAATTCAATGCTAAGCAGGACTGAGGACTGATTTGAAAGTTTCCAGGTAATACAATGGGCACTTTTCCCATACATCGGATACTGCTATTCACTTAGCATTAAATATGTATCTTGGAGTTATAAACTATTGTAGGTTGCATCCTGAGACACAGTCGTTGGCTAATAGAACCTCTATAAGCTTAGCAGTTTCTCAACCTCAAGCTGCCAATTCGTTTTAACACATAATATATAAACGTGTAAATAGGAAGCTGTCAGGCAGGCGAAGAGCAAGAATTGCGTACCGTTGTACCATTTGTGTTTGGGCACTTGTCAGCAGACCACTGAACAAACACCCGTCCTTGGTTTGCATGTGTGACTTCTTGCTTGAATAATGTACACAATTTCTGGGCCGCGTCTCCGCTGATGGGTGCCAGTGAGCTACCAAGATGCACCATCAGATGCTAGAATAATACCAACTTATGTTTCATCGGATATAATGATGTAAAATTTATTATTTCATTCAAAAACAATTGATATAAACAATTTTAAATGAATGATTACTGCTAGTCGAAATTTATATATTATTGAGTGCAAACTTATGCACTTTTACGCATGAAAACCAGTTTACATGTGAAAAATAAAAGTAATAATAAATGTAGGCATATATTGCAGTCTACGGTCATATTATATATTATATGCTAGAAAATATCATACATGTATTGCTGAAATTGTTGCTATCAATAAGTCTAACAACAGCAGCTCTCTAAACAAAAGTTTGAAATGACAATGACTTACATATCCAGCCTTTGCTTACATTTAGGAGATCAAGAGGGCATCTGATAGCCGCCTGTGCACATCTGGCATTCCCAGTGACGATGTAGTCAGGTAAGTTCTGAGTACTGATGCCTGTTGTAGAGTTCAGAATCGCGCTCATGGAACACCTGGTCAGTGTATATATATATAATATATATATATATATATATATATATATATATATATATATATATATATATATATATATATATATATATATATATATATATATATATATATATATATATATATATATATATATATATATATATATATATATATATATATATATATATATATATCCCATATGGTGATAATTCAAGTACTGTGATCAAAAGGTCTGCAGACGGAATTTATATGTAAAATATTTATATAAGACTTGAATATGAAATAACTGAAGTCGCTATTACTAAATATGAACTGAGTTCAAGTATGCCCATAAGAGAAAATTAGAAAACTCATGACTGTTAATAATAATTGCAATTAAAAAAAAACACTACAAAACTAGTATTAATTTATAAAAGAATATGTAGAACACGCCAGATCATTTTTCAAATATTCCAAGAGAAAAAGAACAGACAAATAGGGTGAATAATCAAATCATTATTAAACGATAATATTTATACTAACATAATATTGGAACGTGATGAATTCTAATGAGGCGAAATGTAATCAAATGAACACTGCGGAGAGTATATTGTTAACAGAAGATATAATTACATCATACAGAAAATAAGATAAGTAAGCTCGTTATTAGTTAATTCCGTACATATTGTTAGATTATACATTATTACCTAAGAATAGGCTTTTAGGTTATATAGGCTGGCGAGCTGGCTTGTGTACGCTGTGACTTGTCATGGACAGGATGGACTATAAGAGAATGGAAATCCCTACTATAAGTAGCCGGAGCACATCCTATTCTCCGGCGGTCGTCACCTCTAAATGAACAAGTCCCGCTCATATTATATTGTTTGAGTATACTTGCGTTGAAAGTGAGTTGTATGTTTTATTGTTTTAGCATATACTGTGTTTGCATGTTATACGGTGATTGCATGTTATACTGTGTTTGCATATTAAACTGTGATTGCATATTATACGGTGATTGTATGTTATACTGCAGATCAGGGGTGGGAAACCTTTAGTCACACAGGCAATATTTTACGTAGCGAATATTTCACAAGTTCGCATTGTTTACATTAGGATAATGACATGCAGTAAAATATAATTGTATATTACAGTGACTTACAGATGAAGCTACAACAAAAAAATCTTATGTAATTAAAACATTCTATTGTGTCAATAAGAGAACAGAGAAACAAGATCAATATTTTCTGAATTTTAGAGTACTTTAACAGACTCTTAGGTTGAAGTTGTGACGCTGTTCAATAGCCTGAACTTGTGTGCTCAACAACAAAAATCTCGAGTATGATATTAAGCTTAAATTAATAAATTGTATTTTCTGTTTGCACGAACAAATCTTTTATTATTATATACATATTTAGGGAATGATCCAACTTGGCTTTTAAATTAATTAAAACCCAAAGATATTAGCAATTGTATAGCACTTACTTTCTTGTAGCGCAATTGACTCTACCAACACCATGAAAAGTGTAGAGTAGGAACGGTAGCATGTACCACACGCCAGCATTGACCTATTGAGAGAACAATTCTACTGAATATATGACAATTACCATCCTGTACAAAAATATATACTTCAATACGTTCCTGTAAGGAAATAATGTTCTGTACATTTCACCAATACTTTCCAGTAGGAGTAATTGGGGACTTAGGAGCCAGCTTAAAAGTTTACTGTTGTCGGACTGACATGTTTCATCAATTGTATCAGGAAATTTTGTACGATATTGGGAAAATATGTACAACACGCCTTTTGGGCTTTGTTTGAAAGCTCAGCTCTTCTTGCAAATTCAAATAAATTATATTATTATCTGATTTTACAAAAAGCTTCTGTTTCCATAAAGTGCTGATATATAATTATATGATCTAAATCTTTAAATGTTCTAAAACCCAATTAGTGAAGAATAATTTGAATATACGTTATGTTAGCACTCACCTGCATTATTCTTGTTAATAGAAGTTTACAGCAGTAAGAACAATTTGGGTTTGTGAAGGCAGCAACACAAACAATAACAGACTTTTATACACGCGTGTTGTCGGGAACAATGTGGGAACAGCAAGGCTGTCCCCTCTATATAAATATGCGGCCGCACCCTCAACCCCAATAAGCAACAGGTTACAGTGAGTCAGCAGTAAAATCTCAATTATTACATAATGTTCTTATAGTAGGTTTATGTTAATATTATATTAATTAATATAATGAATATACATCGAGAACTTTATTGGGTCTTGAGGCATTTGTCGAGAACTATTCTTGCTGGTTGGTCTATAATAAGCTATTGTGATGGCCTTTTGTAACCCTCCATAGATTGCGAGGACTGAAATCTACACTAAACTAAACCAATGCTGCTAGTGTTTATTTTTATTATTTAGTTACTGTATTTTTTTATTAACAAGCTTAGGTATTCACAGCTGTGCTGCTACCCTTTTCTAAATGAAAGATTACACAGTGTAGATTAAAAACTAGCTATAAGTTCATCTAATATCCCCATCTCACAGGATGGTTAGTCATACATGGAATCAGGAGAGAACATGAAATGTAACGCTGATCTATGAGTCTCCACTAGCAAAATCTGGGTATAGCACAACAATATCATTCAATATTGATATTGAGTGTATGGAGCAATTACAGAACTCAAAGTACCTCATACCATTTGGTCTGAAATCACGGATAACAGGACAATCACAGATATTGTATCGTATTCCTAGGTATGCGGTGGTTCATGATTGTTATTTTACCAGATGCAACAACTTTACTGATCTTTGAATGCTGTTTTCCTGGCATTCGCGAGAAACGTGTTAATTAATAGGATATAACATATAGCAGGTTCCATCGGATGAAGCAACGAGACAATAACATAGATACAGCAAACAATAGGAAATCTAAGTAAAATTTCAATGGTGATTCCTGAATCCACTCTAGTTCCACATCCATGCAAAATCTTCTTTTCGGACAACCACTTTGAATATACTGGGTTAACAATTAGATTTGTGTTCCATTTTCTAATTTATTTTGTATTTGAGTTACATTTCGTTAATTAAAACCCAAATGAATGCCATTATTTCAGAAAGCACTGCGTACTAGTTGCTTTCTATATTATTTTTATCTTATATTTTTTGCTCTGTTCATTTATTATATTTATTTACAATTGCATTAATAAACTATTTTTATATTATTTTATTATTATTTTTACTACATTATGTAGCATGACAACAAAAATGGTGACCCCATTGAAGTAGATTTCATGCACTCGCACTGGCGCCGCTTTCTATGTTAATGTCTTTATTTTGCGGTGTCAGCAGCAATCACCCAGCATATCATACATCAGCATACATATATGATATATTTAAGTGTGTATCATGCTTCTCGGTTTATATTCAATAAGAGTGTACCATAGGCTTGAATTATGTTCATGAATAAAGTATTCTAGCTAGTTGGTATGTAACTATTTATGGTGGTCTTATTAATCCTCCCCAGGCTGATGGGTCTTAAGCATAATGCCAAACCAGAAGCGAGGCAGGGATATATACACCGATATGTGTAACTCGTTTCTCGTATATTCACTGAGTTTAGTTTAGTCCTGGACTATATTCAGGACTAAAGTATACTTAGTATACTTGCTGGTTGGTCAGTAAGCTATTGTGCTGTCCTTAATAACCCTCGTGAGGTTGATAGAGCTTAAACCCAACACCTATCCAATTCTCAGCTCGAGTGACCTCGTTGATGTAACAATGGGGATTGCAACAAGCATTGTTTTGTTTTCTATTTAATATATATTCTCTTGCTATGGTGTTGCAAGCGACATCATCTGTCTGGGTTCTCCTGTGTTGAAGCTTTTTTTTAGGTTAATGGTACAGTAATTTATTATTATTATGTGCCATTTTTCTGTTGTCATGTATAATAATAGAATGGGCAGGATGGTATAGGGAGGGGGGGGAGGGGAGCGGGTGTAATTGACACAAATGTTACCATATCACAAATTTATTGCTTTGTAATTTAACAATGTTATATATAAAATTACCATTTGTTTCACATTTTTTGTTGCTGTTGGAAGTAACTGCCATCAACCATGGTGTTGCCAGTGTCCAGGTTTGCCAGTGTCCAGGTTTGCCAGTGAACAGGGTAGTGACTGAGGCTGCCAGTGTCCGGGGTCGCCAGTGACTGAGACTGCCAATGACCGAGGTTGCCTGTGACCGGGGTTGCCAGCAACCAAGGTTTCCGTTGACTGGCATTGCAAGTAAGCGAGGTTACCATTGACCGGGGTTACTAATTATCGAGGTTGCCAGTGTCCAGGACTGCCAATGACTGAGGGTGTGGGTGAATTAGTTATATGGGAAATAAAACCATGGCGCTGAGTACATCATGAGTATGAGTTTAGTGTTGTGGTGGGTCCTCGTTGGTGAGTCAACCGGGAGTGCCAGAGCATCGTTGACACTGGTGAAACTAGCAGTGGAGTGGAGGAAGTTCCGTTCAGTTTCCTGGAATAGGAAGTATAGGTGGTTAGTACAGGGTGTCATATTGTGATCTGAGAGTTGATATCTTATTGTCCAGTGATCTCTCTCTCTCTCTCTCTCTCTCTCTCTCTCTCTCTCTCTCTCTCTCTCTCTCTCTCTCTCTCTCTCTCTCTCTCTCTCTCTCTCTCTCTCTCTCCATGGGGACTACTCACTGCATGGTCCATCATAGAGCTTGGTGAGGGAGGTGTCTTTACACACGGCGTTGCCGAAGGTGCAGGCGTTGCTGTAGGTAACTCTATCACTGCCACACACTGGGGCGTAGGTAATGGGGCAGGCTTGCGTACACAAGGAAGATCCTCCAGAGGATCCCCCTGACGAAGCTGAGGTAGATGTGGTGAACAGATACGTTATTATGTAGTTAAGTAACGTGACGTCATTGTTAAGTGCTGGTGTTAATTTATTACTTATTGCTAGTTTTATTTCTTATATTCTTATAATTATTATTATTTGTATTACCAGTAATAAGTATTCTATCATTACTACTGGTATTACTGTCACTACAACTAATTTTCTTCTTATATATTATTTTTAATTTTATTATATTTGACAAATTATAATGTGTGTTGACTTTTATTAGTGATTGAATTGTATATAATTATATAAATGTTATTATTATTAGTATTAATATTACTACTAATGCATTCTAGTTTTATTCATTGTTGCTGTTATTCCTGTTTTTTTTTTTATTCAGAAAGAAATTTACATTACGCTATTGCCCTTGAGGGTCAAATGACGCTACGTCTGAGTTATGTCAACAATCACACACAGAGATCACAATAACGTGATGCATCAAATGAACAAATCCACAAGGGCCGTGACGAGGATCCTCGTCACTGCCCTTGTGGATTTGTTCGTTTTATGTCAACAATGTCTGATGTAAATAATGAGCTGTATCGGTGGGTCTTGCATAGGGAATGGTCGAGACGCTGTACAAAATTCAATCCATGTTATAATGTAATAATTATCACATATGCCAATAACAAAAACCCAATATAGCAAATTATTAGCATTTTACGCTGTAAACACAATTTGTCACCGCGAAGTTTGACCCCACAGGAAGTAGTGTGACCTACATTCAAGGGATAGACAGGAAAGATATCCGCTAAAACCCCTCTAGAATGACTAAACGATATACATGAGGCCACGTGCTGGGACAGCTTGACCAGTTGGTCATGTGGTCAAAAACCGTGGTCGAGGTCGAGCGGAGGAATTAATTGTGATTATATATATATATATATATATGCATATTTACAAAAGTCTCTCCTGTGACTTAAACCGTAGATATTTTCTGTTTTCTTAAACAAAAAATCTGTTAATATCCTTTCCTTTCAATGCTTCAAAATAAATCTTGGAAAAAGTTAAGAGAGTGGATGGAATGAGGAGAAATCACGTCATCGGTGTGTTTGTTGGTGCTGCCTTTTGCATAATTTACACGACCACAGTGCAGTGAATGATTAATTTTAACAAACACAAGAGTTGAAATCAATATTCGTACTTCGAAAACAAAATGTTACCATTTACATGCAAACAGCGACCAATACTTTTGTGGTCGTGTCAAAAACTTTCAGGTCATGACGCGCAAACTCACACCTTATTTAAGGGTGAAGATGATCAAGATTCTGCGTTGCCTTTAAGGGGTTCCTTCAGCACATAAGCATTTTAAAAGTGCGATTTAAACATAGAAAGTGAATAAAGCCCTGTTCGAGAAAAGTTCGAAAATTATCAGTTGTGAGTAGTTACGTGTAAAGTGCTTTTTATACATAAACAGCGGCTTTAGGATAAACGAACATTTAGGTAATGCAGACGATGAGTCACAATAACGTGGCTGAAGATATGATGACCAAACAACATACCAGAAATGATGAGAATTAACACAATACAATTGTTACACAATACACTGCCCTCTGAAACCAAGGAGAATTCACGATGAACAATCAAGTGGCTGTGCTCAAGCGCTGAAAGAAATGAGCTTATCCTGACTAAGCAATAAGTCAGTAAATGATTTTCGTGTGTGTCTGCATATATATACACACATTTTATTTCATTTACTTGGGCCCTAGGAGCCTTGAATCACAACCCAAAGAACGGAAAACGGTAGCTCTATCAACCACGCTACTGAACATCCATAATAAGGTAGGATTCCAAAAGTATCTAATTGCTGCTCAACTAAAACTTTAAGCCTTCCCTGGGCTGCCACTCGAGCATGGAGGAATTAGATGATCTCCGCCCTCATATAAATTGTCAACACAATAAACATGGATAATAACGTTTCATTCACTTGGGCCCTATAGGAGCCTCGAACGACCGATCCCAAGAAAAAAGACGGTAGAGCTACCAATACCTACCACAAGGGCCATCATTCCTCTTTGTGACCAAGGCATCGCGGCACGAGACGCGATCAAGTTGGCACTGGCTATCGTAGGTGACGCCGTCAGTGCCACAAACAGGAACATACTCAGTGCCGCAGGAGGTGGGGCAGGTGGAGGAAGAGGAGCCCGATCCTCTCTCGTCTGTGGTGGCAAACACCATAGTTAATTGAGTTAACTCATTCATCAATTGGGTCAATTTAGTCGTCATATGTATCTTGAGTCATAACCTGGTCCAATATATCAATCAGCATTCTATCTATCTATCAGACTACATCTGTTTTTCTCGCCTGCAGTCACAGGCTAAGAAAACATTATCACTATCATATGTTTGTCCATCTTTCTCTTTGGTGGCTATAACATAGTACGCATCATTAAGAACACCGTAAAATACGTTATATTTTGATATAATAACCATTAAAATATATGTATACTATAAGATAGGATAATAGTTTAATTACAGCAAACTAATGTTTGGTAGTTTCAGGTAACGAAGGGTATTATCCACATCCAAACTAGCCTCGTCCAAGCTGCCACCGTCCTCAAGAGTACCTTTGTAATTTTGTATATTTGATTAAAATCGTTACTTTCTTAAATATATATTAATATTTGTTTGTATTATACTTTTGTGTATGGCTAGGCATAGGGTAGATAAGGTATTAAGGTTCTGTTGGTAATTATTTATATTTGGAATACGATGATGAAGATTTAGAATTGTAATTCGAACATAGAAAGTGAGCAAATTTCGATAAAAGTTCGAACATAATCAGACGTGATTAATGTTTAAAATGTTTTACAATTATGAACAAGGATGCTTGACCATTTAACTACTGTTCATAATGATAGGATATTTTATTTATTTATAAATGTACAAAACCTTTAAAACGAAATGATTAACTTATTATGTGTGTCTGAACACTGCTTTGCTTACTTCAAGTGTTCAAAGCGCACATACAATAAACTCATTTATTTGTCAATGTAAATAAACCATTTAATCTATCTAATACTAATCTATGCATAACCTATAATATTTAAGTTTATATTTGAAAAATATATACATTTTTATCAATTGAATTAATTTATGAGCAAAATTTGTAAGCAGGCACAATTGGGTTCGAGTGGGCATGAACGAGCTCTGGTGAATGAGTGGCCGTCACCAGCCCGAGGGAGGATCGTTCTTGGGTGGACGAGCCGCGACCTGAGTCACTGTGAATATAAACACCTGTGTTATCAACCCGTGTGATTAGTCACCTGTGCTATCAACCCGAGTGATTAGTCACCTGTGACATCATGTTAATGAGTGAGTAATCCCCATTAGTTATTATAGTGAATATTCTCCAGTTAACATATTAGTGAATATTCTCCAGTTATCATATTAGTGAGTAATCACCATTATCTTAGTGAATAGTGCCTTAGTCATCATCACAAAGACGCCAGACGTACGCCAGATGAGTGGGATTGGGTGGTTATAAATGAGTGGGATTGGGTGGTTATAAATAGGAGCTGCCTGGTATGGGCGAATAGGCCTCCTGAAGTTACCTTTGTTCTTATGTACAATCATGTGACACTAATGACATGCTTATCAACTTAACAGTGACGTAACTATTACACATTCCTTGAAATCATTCAAAATCGTCGGTCATCACTTACCACAGCGACCCTCGCTGGCAACAGAGATGGGAGAGCCGTTCCTACAGGCAGCTAAGTTGAGTAGACAGAGGTTATAGTACGTGAGCCCGTCACTTCCGCAGACGGGCATGTATATCCTGCCGCAGGTGTTAGGGCAGCGGTCTTCAGCAGGAAGTTGTCCTGAGACGCATCAATTGACCGATCATTAAGTAGACTGTTTATACTGCTGACCTATAGCTAAAGTTTATCCCGAGTTGAGGGCGGTGAAGTATGTTTAATGTCGTGCAGAAACCATGCATAGTTGAAATGGCGTTCAGTGTGGCTGAACAAAATGAATCTTGAAATTTAATAGAAAAGGCTAATGAATATTAAATTTGCACTTTGATTCTGGTCAAAATATTGGTGCTATGTCAACTTCCGTGGTTGTCCTGTTGCACAATAATCAGCGCAGTAAGCTCAAAGTTGAATGGCCATGAGTTCGATTCCCGCAACAGGACAGAAGCGTTTGGGTCACGTTTTTTTTATTTTTACCTGATGCCTTTGTTCGCCTAACAGTAAATAGATACCCGGGAGTTAGTAAACTGTTGTGGGGGGTGCATCCTGGAGAGGGTCAGTAGGTCGACCTCTGGAGAAGTCTCGAGATATATATACAAGCCTGATGTATATATACAAGCTGCCTGTCACCAACAAAACGAATGATTAAATGAAGTCCGCCAATTTGCAGGCGATGAGTCACAATAACATGGCTAAAGTAAGTTGACCAGACCACACACAATCGACTTGAGAATGGTCCAGGACGGACCGAAACGTCGTGGTCCGCCAATTTGTTTAGTCAGTTTCTCAATTACCGCTGGGATGTCATGGCAAGAGTGCAATCAACTACCTATATGATCATATATGATCACAATACAGTATTATGCCCGAAACGCTTTGCGTAATAGTGGCTTTAGGCATTGTATGTACTAGCTATACCTATAAGTTAAACAATCCTTGTAAATATTTATTGTATGTATGTACCTTACCTAAATAAAATTGTATTGTATTGTATTGTATTATAATTAAGTACCCATCTCGTATGGGTACGAGATGGTACATTCCGTATTCACGGCCAAATCTGTTATAATAGATGTGGGATCGCAGGATTGTTTCAAGCGTAGGTTAAACATGTTTAGTTTTTGACTGGATATAAATAGGAGCTGCCTCTTGCGGGGTAATAGGCCTTTTCGATATGTGTTTTCTCCTCTCATCCTTCTAATATATTTTTAAGAAACCTTAATCAGAATGATCCTAAATACCGTATTGCTTTCTCAAAGCGCGTGAGAACAGAGGTGCTCTATACAGCAGTCAGGATCAGTGACTCACAACATTCTCCGTTGTAGCGCTTGGTGATGGCGGGGTTGAGGCAGGCGGCGGCGTCGAGGGAGCACATGTTGCTGTAGGTGGTGCCGTCATTACCACACACTGGGTCGTATCTGGTGGAGCAGGAGGTGGGCCTCGGGCATGGCCGCTGCTCGAGTTGATCTGTAGTGGTGGTGGCTGCTTTACTTGGAACTAGTTTTCGTTAACTTTAAATTTTAAGTGCAATATGATGGACTTTAAATTGCCGAATTGCATTGCTAGCCTGGGCTCAAGTGGGCCTGATTGTAGAGAAAGGTACTAATGATAAATGTTTGATTTGTATGTGACGTTTTTGCCGAAGAGGGATTTATTAATTCTAATAATGCCATTATGCAACTTAACGATATTACATAGACTTCTCTTGACTCATTATTTCTTTACTGGAACTGATTTCTGAGCTACATTTGACTTCTTCGCTGAGAGCTGTATGGACATTATTTTTAAATTTTAAATACCTGCTCAATTATTGATTATTATTGCTACAACTGGAATGATATTTTCTAGGTTTATATAAGAGTGCTGAGCACGTTTACTTTAATGATCGGTGAGGGGAGATACTAACTTTGAAATTTATTTATTTTTTGCTCAATATTATTATACTGATTTTAGTTTTTTGTTTGAAGTCACTCGGCAAACTGGCTAGAGCCTAAGAGTTGGTGAAGTGACTCACCACATTGTCCAGGGTAGCTGAGAGTAAGTGAGGAGTTACGACAACTTGCTGCCTTGAGGACACACTCGTTGGTGTATGTGTTACCGTCGCTGCCGCACACGGGGGAATACGAAGCAGGACAGGCGTCCGGACATGGCTGCTGCCGTGTACCTGGAATTGAGCGTAGTGATGTACTCTTCTATTTCATTCCAGAAATCCGCGGGCGCTTGGAGCAGCTCAAACGAAATTGGTAACATAGTTCAAGTTATTTCACCGTTGCTGGTGGAGGGGGTGCTTAGGACGGACATTGGGAATGGTTTCGATATCATTCGCTGCCGGGGATAGGTTATTTCCTGGTTCCCTAAACTGTCCGTTTTATTTCAAATGGTGAAGGTGAGGCGCTTAACGTACAATGGTTCAGTTTATTGTACGATCCGTTAAGTACTGATTATAGTAATATTCATTTCTAAAATAAGTAGTTTATCCTTGGTTTGGTGGTAGGTTTAAGGGATATCTACCTTATGGAGGGTTATCAAGGCCACCGCAATAGTTTATTAGCCAACGAGCTTGGCATAAAAAAAAAGTCCCAGTCTAAGCTGTATCGAATATAGTGCCATAATTATGTAATCCTTATTATAAGGATAAATAAATTGGTAAATGATAACTTATTTTATGTCAGAATAGCGTCATGTTCTGCTATATATGCACATACACTGTACATATATATACTTTCGGGTTGTATCGAGGTCTTTCCCCTCCCCAAAGTCTTAAGGTCGAACTACTAACCCCCCCCCCCCTTAGGATGCAGCCCACAACAGTTGCCTAACTCCCGAGTACCTAATTACTGCTAGGTGAACAGAGGCATTAGGTGAGAGGAAACGTGGCGAAGGGACTGTGTTCTCGACTACAACCATGTACAACAGCGTGACCCAGTGTGGGTTTCTTAAGGTAAACTCTGATTAAATCATGCGTATTTAACACATAAAAAAAGACTTTTATGAGACAGAAACTTTGTAGTCGTGATAAGTGTTACATGAGAAAGGATCTCCCGGGGAGAGTGAAGGTTACTGATTCATGCATTCACCAAGAACCTATATCAAGTGATGATTTCTGATTCATGCGCTCACCAAGAACATTTATCAAGTGGAATTTCATGATATATGCACTCAAAAGAACATTTATTTCTCAAACTAATTGATCATGAATGGTGATATTCATACAGGTGTATACATATATACACACAAGTACGTGTTACAAAGGTGCCTTACCACATTCACCGTTGCTGATCTTGGTGATGGTAGGGTTCCTGCAGGAGGCTGCCCGCAGAGCACATTCGTTGCCGTAGGTCTTGCCATCATTGCCACACACGGGGGCGTAGTTGACGGGGCAGGCGATGTTGCAGGGTTGCTGTGGCTGCTGCCCCAGATCTGCTGGTTAGGTATTGGGTTCCATAAGTGCTGCTGGCAGCCATATGCATAGCAAGTTAAAATGAATATCTATGTGTAAGAATTGTGAAATATGAATTCTTAAAATTTCTCACATGTTAATGAGGAAGTACAAGGAGTATTGACTTACTGCAGCGGCCGTCATAGGCTTTGGTGACCCGTGGGCCGGTGCAAGCCTTGCTCTCCATCACGCACTGGTTAGAGTACGTCAAGCCGTCACTCCCACACACCGGCACGTACTCCCTTGTACATATTTGACGACACACGGATGGATCTTGACACGGGATTTGCGGAAACATGATACAATGTTATTGATGAACACGTATTGCATAGTTATGAAAATGTGTACAATGAAACCACAATATTGAAGGGGGATAATAGAAGTAGGATCCCTTGATTGTTTTTAATGTAGGTTAGACATATTTCTGAATGAGATTGGGTGGTTATAAATAGGAGCTGCCTCGTATCGGCCAATAGGCCTTCTGTAGTTACCTTCATTTTTATGTTCTTAATTGCTTATCCATGAAACAGTTTTTGAAACAATGCGGTGGAATCTTTCTCCCATCTTAAGGTTTAATGTGCGCGTCTCGGGTGACCCTGGACGAGAGTTCAATCCCACCGCATAGTTACAGTATATTTTTTCAATGAATGTTGTTTGTGCTAGTGATTGGCGTTCAACGACACGTGGTACATGGCTAGGGCTAATGCTGCTTGGTTAGTTTTACGGACTATTCATTATAAATGTCGAAGATTTTTGGTTCGTTGGTTTAAGGTTCAGGTTAAGGCCCGTCGACCTCAGAAGGGGTTTCAGGACACAATAGCTTACTGACCAACCAGCAATAATACTTTAGTCATGAATATGATACAGGTCTAAAGTAAACTAAATGCATATCCACCGATAAGCAAATTACACTTCTTGGTGAATATATTCTTGTTGTGTGGAGTTAACAAAAAATGTATGCAGCAGTACAAATGAATAAGATACTTACTGCAGATACCATCATAGGACTTGGTAATTTGTAGACCTTCGCATATCTTGCTGTCCAGGACGCACTGGTTGGGGTACGTCAGCCCGTTGGAGCCACACACAGGCACATACTCTCTGGTGCATATTTGTGGACAAGCAGCTGAAGCTGGAAACATGTTTAGTGAATATTGATAATGGCCCGAGACGTGATTCATAGGGCTAATAATACATTGTTAGGGTTGATCATACATGGTTAGAACTGACGAATCATGTCTATAATTTATGCGTTTCTCATTTAAATGGCAATGACGACTGACCTTCCACAGGATGCAACCTATAAGGTAGCTCTATTCACAGTAAAGTCTCGCCCTTCCTACAGGGACTCTACTTACTGCAGGGACCTTCCTTGGCCAGGGTGACACTCCGACCAGCACACGCTTCCCGGGTGAGGAAGCACTGGTTGGTGTAGGTCCTGCCGTCAGACCCACACACGGGCGCCTTGGTCCCAGGGCAGGTGGTAGGGCAAGGGCGCTCCACCCCTACCGGGAGAGGATCATAACAAAACTTATTGGTGTTTCTTTGTCAATAATACATATTGATCAAGTTTTTATTATTCAAATAAATCGTCATGCATGAAACAAAAAGGAAATTATTCATGAAAAGGAATTATTATTATTGACGTTTCTTCATTTATATGGACAATACCGCCATAGTCGCTTTGGTACTACACATTTCGAAAGCTGGGTGACTGCTTCATATTCAACATTCATATTTATTATATTGCTCGCTTAATCGTCATGTATTATTTCAATTCATACATGAAAAATCCCATTAAGTTTACGTTTATGGTTCTATTTTGAATCTTACTCCACATATCTGGAACCTTGATTCTAAATTATTATTTGGCCAATTTCTTTTCTATTTTGAAATCGTTGTTTTGGGTTCTATTATCATATAACCCTACTTATATCCCTATTATTAAGCTTATTTTTACATCAGGGATATACTCAGAGGTGTACCCAGCTTCTCTGTGTATATACACACTGACAGTTTATTTTAGTTCTGAACTATGTTTAGGGCTAAAGTATACCTGTTGGTTGATCAATAAGCTGTTGTGATGCCTTAATAACCCTCCACAGGTTGATGGGCCTTAAGCCCAACACCAAACTTGCTGGTTGGTCAGTAATTATATCCCAATTATTGAATCTTTTTTAGAACCATCCATGTTTCCCCATCACTAAAAGTTTCACCACAATTTCCAAAAATTTTACATTTACAAACTGAGTTCGGTCCATCCTGGAATTATCAACGTAAAGATAGTTATCTACTTAAAATTATTTGTTAGTTTCTTGTATATAAATAAATACATAAATAAATAACAGCTGATAGAAAGGGAGAGACCGTGGAATGAACGCTAGAGTAAGTATGGATTATAGGATAGAACAAATTACCTCAAGAATATAAAGAACGGTAAATAGCGTATAGAGCCCAAGGGATTTAAAGCTATCCAAAAACCGAGAGAGACTATCAACCTCTGTAGGGTTTTTAAGGCTTGTCAACCTCTGTAGGGTTTTTAAGGGGGCATGACTGTAGGCTTTTTAAGGCTTATCAACCTCTGCAGGGTTTTTAAGACCTATCAACCTCTGTAGGGTTTTTAAGGCCTATCAACCTCTGTAGGGTTATTAAGGCCTGTCAACCTCTTGAGGGTTATTAAGAACACAATAAATTACTTATCAACCAGCAAGTATACTTTAGTCCTGAACATAGTCCAGGACTAAACTAAACACACTGTATATACATCAAGAAGCGGGATACACTATTCTGTAAATATATCCCTTGCGAGGTGGTGTAAATATATATATTCCTTTATTATCAAGGAAGTATTGAACGTACTGCAGGATCCGGCGTGACGCATGACGAGGTTCCTGCCGGTGTAGTAGCAGGAGTAGTAGAGCAAGACACAAGGACTGTTGTAGGTGACACCGTCCGACCCACACACCGGCTTGGACGAGCGGTCACACAAATAGAAGCAAGGGTCGGGCACAGCTGTTGACAGACGTATACTTGAGATCAGTTGATTAAATCGATCCTGCTATTCAGTATCAGCCATTTAATATTCTCACGCTCAGTCTCGTGAGAAATCCAAGCTGTTTTATCAACTAATGGGTCACGCTTTGTTCGTTATGGTAACCAACGTGGCAAATGCAACTATGAAAAGTAATGGCTCTCAAAGATCTACGTTTTCTGTGCAACGGATTTTTCTCACAGCTTGTCGCAATATCCCGTTTGTAACGCAAGATATGACTCACACCGTCAAGGAGCTTGTTAAATATTCACATGAAACCATAACCTCATAACTCAAGATTTTGTATATTTTTTCACTGTAAACTTAATTAGGTTTGATTTTAGACTTAATTCATTTTAACCTCTCTAGGCCTATTGAGGATACAACTAATTTACTGACCAATCGGCCAATGTACATTAGTTTTAGACATCATTTAGAGGTAAAGTTAACTATGTATATACACCGAGGTGCGGGGTAGGTCCATATATCCTGTGTTTATTCAACAAATGTTAGTTACAATTATAATCTTGTGTCGAGTACTTCTACCGAATGAAGAACAGTTGCAAGTTAAACTTTGTGACATAGAAATTCTATAAAGGTTCACATGATCAGGGGCATCTTAACAGCACTGTTGGCCCTGGACAAAGCAATGCACTGGGCCCATGCCCAAGTGACAGGCCCTAAAGTCCGCTGAGGTACAGGATTACTTTCACAGACTTGCGAACAAATTATTTATATTATAAATATAATTTAAAGAGGATTTAAATCGGAGGTCTTTTCAACGAGAGGTCGCGTAATTATCCACTCTGACAAGAGAACTCTCATGAACAAAATGGTAGCATAGGGCCTAGAGAATCGTGGGGACACAATGGGCAATTTCCCCTTGAGCCCATGCGTTAAGCCGGCACTACACAAGAGTCGTATGAACGTGGGATAAGCTAAACACGGTCACTGAAGGGATACGCACCACGATTGGTCAAGGGTGAATCAACTTAGGATATATAATTTATAGTTATATGAAAGATAATGTCTGCCCGAGGTTGGGGCCAGACGTTTGGCGCTAGCCTCGCCCAACTTTCCAATATGAAACGTCGGGGTTATGGAAGTGCCATAGGCGAGTCGGGGTCGCCTTATGCTCTTTAAAAAATAACGGCATCTATAGTGACACTTGCTATTTTCATGAAGCCTAAAATAAAATCAGGGGTTGTATTTTCCGTAGGGTTTTTATATTAGCGCCGGAAGAATTTATTTGGGTCATCGTATTATTTTCTGAGACAGATATAGAGAGAGGGAGATGGAGGCTACTAGCTGTGGTAACGTGATTCTTCCACATCAGCTCCGGACCTCCCAGGCTACTAGCTGTAGGGGTTACTAGCTACAGGGGTTATCAGCTTAAACCACAGGGGCTACTAACTACGTGGCCTACTAGCTGAAGAGGCTACTAACATCAGTCTACTAACTGAAGAGGCTATAATAACAAGGGCTACACAAACTATAAGGGGTGGTGCCAATGCTCATAAGGATTTACAACAGTGTAATACACATCAGTTGGCTACACATCACAGCTGCACTTACTACAGGGACCGAATTTGGCTAGCCTTAGGGAGGCGTTCTGGCAGCTAGCCCGCTGGAGGAAGCAGAGGTTGGGGTATGAGAAGCCGTCGTTGCCACACACCGGGTTGTATATGTACTCGCACTCCTCATTACACGCTGCTGGAATACACATTGGGTATGTACTGGTTACATTCTGTTAGGAGACACGGTGTACATGCACTCATTGTATTAATTACAAGCTGATTTAATGTTAGGTCATAGGCTATCAATCACTAGTGGGATCTTAAGGGCCACCACATACGGTTATTGCTCAAGTAGCAAGTTCAAAGCATAGTTTAGGACTGGTATTAAACTCAGTGTATATGCATTGACAAACGGGGCTGACAGCTTAGGATTCTGTAAGCGTTTGGTGTTGGGCTCCATGGCTATCAACCTCTGGAGGGTTATTAAGGCAACCACAAGTGCTAACTGACTAACGCGAGAATACTTTACATTTGTGCATAGCCCATAAGTAAAACTCAGTTTATATCCCTGTGCCTTAAACTGCTGAAACATATGTGTGTACACAGCTTACTGATAAGCCAAATGAGCTGTCATATAGGACAATAGTGGCTTCCCAGGAGCAGCACCTTAGATGTGTATTCAGGTATAGGTACATACATTGAAAATGAGTTACAAACATAATGTTGGATTTATAGATATAGCCAGTACATATAATGCCTGAAGCCATTAATATGCACAGCGTTTCGGGCAATTTATCCTTAACTTGTGGATCATGGTACATAGATGTACCATAAGCGTGGGAAAGAGTGTCAGAGTAACCGCTGCATTTTCAACGACTCGTAGTTACAATGAAAGAACGCTTATGCAAGATCTTATTGAATAGTATGCTAAATTGTTAAAGATTCGCTACTTGGAACAAAAAGTTCCAAGTAACACGGGCTATGGTGAGCCCGTAGATAGTTATTAGTATGCTAAGAGCAGCACGTATATATGTTCTCCCAGTACTGATTACATGCTGTTGGAAGAAACGTTATATAATATATATATATATATATATATATATATATATATATATATATATATATATATATATATATATATATATATACATATATATATATATATATATATATATATAATATACATATATATAATATACATATATATAATATACATATATATAATATACACATTATATAATGTATTCAACTAGTTACACGCTGTTTGGTTTGGTGTTGGGCTTAAGGCCATATTGATCAACCAGCAAATATAATTTAGTCATGAATTATTTAGTCAAAGACTAATGAAAACAGCGCGTATATAATGAACGGAACAGCTCACCTCTCAGTGGTGCATATATTTATCCTTCCTTGTTGCTACGTTTGGACTTGGTAGATTTTGATCCGATACTGACTCCCATTTTTGGTTAGTTAGATAATAATAAGTCTAAAATTTAAATATTTTATGTATAATGAATAATTTGTTAACAATGTTCAGCAAACTTGTTGTAAAATTCTGTGCATCCAATATTTTGTTTAGCATTTATATGTAACAATTTATTTTATTTACGCAAATAATTATATAAAAGGAAAAAATCCTATTTAACTTTAAAAATACATTATTTGTTTAAAGTGTTTTATATATAATAACACAATGGTGTTGAATATTAACAATTAACTAAAAACTGAAAATTGTATATTTTCTATAATCAGAAAACGCATTCCTTCATTTAATGTTAAACTTTGCATTTTTATTTTGTCTGTAATATGTATTTTTTTTCTTTTTGAACATCGGTATATCAAATACGTCTCTCAAGCTTTAGTTCAATCTTTTATAAAACAAGTTATAAAAACAACAAAGCTAGTTATGGTAATGATATTCCGTATATTGGTTACTAGGAGAGAGTAGTAGTAGTCAAGAAACGTCTCGCTTGATGAAGCTAGTACACTGACCTGTTTGAGGCTGGACAGGTAGAGTGGAGAATGCCAGTATATGAAAGGTCAGTACCACGAATATGGAGAATGCCATCCTTTTCGTTAGCGACTCTGCAAAAGTAAGTTACAATATCTCTAAAAAAAAAAAATGATTGTCAAAGGTTGTAAGCCAGACGCTTAGGATAGTGTCATTAAATGTTGTCAGGAGACTAGTTGGGTCTTGGGGACGTTCATAGGGGAACCGGTCCCAACAAGTGGCGATCTGCTCCCATGGCGACACCCATAAAGTCTGAAATTGTGGTGTCTTTTCCTTAGAGTTTTCAGCTGATCATAATATTTTTTTTTATATATATTGACATGCGAAACGCATGTTATTCAACTTATTTCTTTATTATGCATCCCATACTCATCCCGTGAGGTAGATTTACATTCTGGGGAGTCCCAACACTAAAATGGTGTATTTTCCCATTTGGTGCGTGTTCATTCCGTTGTATGTAATGCAGGTAAATGTATTTATTGTTATGCAGTTATGTATCTGTTAAGTGGTAATTTAAATGTATTGATTTATCATTCATTGACTTATTAAGTGTTTATCGATAATCTGTTTTAATTAAATGAACAAATCCACAAGGGCCGTGACGAGGATTCGAACCTGCGTCCGAGAGCATCCCAGACGCTGCCTTAATCAACTGTTTAATCTGTTTTAATTTAAAAGAGCTGAATTATTTGCATGTAAAGTTTCTGGCTGAAGAACTGAGGTATTTCAAACAGTAGTAGTGAGCAAAGCACTGTTCGAACAGAAGGGAGCAAAGCACTGTTCGAACAGAAGTGAGCAAAGCCCTGTTCGATAGGAGTTCCAGCACAATCAGTTGTGGGTTCTGATTAAAGTGTTTTCCATTCATTAACAAGTGGACGTTTGGTTAATAATTGAGCATTTAACCAATGTTAATGAGGCTGGGTTGTACATAGATTGAGGATGGGATGACATCTCAATGTCTTTGTTTCGGTAGCCATTCCTTACAATGTGTTCATTATTGTCATGTGAATCGACTCTTATCAAATTAGAGAATAACATGGCTGACCCTCGCCAGGATTCAGTCCTGACTCTCACAAGATCTATATCTTGTGAGATATGATGATTATCTTCACACCATCGTGTAACACATCACCGTGTACTACCACCAGCCTGTAACATATCACTTTGTAACAAAATAGTTTTCCCTTTATATAACCTAACCTAATCTATAACAATGTCTTCAGTCTTGTCTGTATAAAAATTTAACTTATTTTATTATACTGGCATTTCAGTCTTACCTTTATGCAATGTAAACTAAATAAATAACGTTGGGTGTTCAGTCGGCCTTCACTGCAGTAACTGACGCTCCGCGCTCTGAACCACAATCTTCTCTGGTTCACTCACGTCACCAACATTTCCAAAGAAATCTTTCTTGTGACATTGAAAGCCGCCGCCTCCGCCTACTCCCAGGGCGCCTCTGCATCGTTGGTTACATTATTTTTCTCACGGTGTCATTTAATGGGTGATGAGGGTGTGAGCCGGATTCTGGGTTTACCGTGTCGGATTACTTGAGCAGCGGGGCGCCATTATCGTCAGGTCGAGGTTACTTGTGTGTACCCAAGAGACGGGCTCCCTTGGGAATTGCCCGCAGCTGTGCACAGACTCTCTTATTATTTCTTTCTTGTCTCAATAAACATACTTGAACTTGACTCTCTTTGTTTGTTTTTTTATTTACAACTTGCCGATAAGTACCGCGACTATTGCAGCGCACATACATACACACACAGCTGAGTGGATAGCGCTCGGGGGTTGTAGCCCTAATGGCCCGGGTTCGATTCCCGGCGGAAGCGGAAAGAAATGGGTAGTTTCTTTCACCCTGATGCGCCTGTTTACCTAGCAGTAAATGGGTACCTGGGAGTTAGATAGCTATTACAGGTTGGTTCCTGGGGTTGTGTGCATGCGCATGTGTTAGAGATAAATATATGTAGTAGATATAATAGAGGAAAAATAGATTGGTTAGAATTAGGCTGGGTTAATAGCTAATGGCTCGATTCTGTAGACAAATGGTAAATGCGCGCGCGCGCGCACACACACACACTCCTGAGGAACATCTGAACATCGTCACATAAGAGCACATGTTATCGTGTGAATATCACCTCAGACCAGACGGGGGAGACATCTCCCGTCTCGCAGGGTACAGTTGCACCTCCACAGATGACTCCAAAGGGCCACCACTTACGGGCTATTCATGCCCGTGTCACCTTTTGGGTGTCTTAATCTTTAATCTTTATCAATCAACCTCAGATCAATCGACTCATCCTCTCGAATAGTACCTCGCATTTTGACGTATAAATCCCCCAAAGGCCAGAAACGATTTAGTACATTAGTTTCTGTAAGCTAATTTATATTAGTTTATATTATAATTTTTACTAATGCATAAATGTACAGTATATTTTACGGAAAATGGTAAAGTGATATGACTATATTATAATTCCGCATAACCCAAGCATGGAATTCCCACGTACTCTGCCAGGAGTCATCAACCATTTACTTACGAAACCTGTACATCTTCAATCATGGCAGCATTGTTTACATTAAACATTTTATGATTTCCGAGGCACTAAAATGGTTGTTTATAACAATAATAACCTCGGGTTGTCACGTTTTCCGGCCTGTAAACTGTTTAATAAATGTAAACAAAGCCACCATGATTAACGAAAGATGTGCAGGTTTCGTAAGTGGGTACGTAAAAGGTTATGAGGGGATATGATCACAACATATAAGATTCTTAAAGGCACTGCCAGGGTGGAGAAAAATTTAATGTCTACCATAACCGGAGGCAGAACAGGAAGCTCTTTATTCCGCCTCAACCGGTGGAAACAACTCGACAATCCAACCATTTAACGAACCAAGAACTTAACGACCATATGAGCCAATAGCTTGTTCATCCCTCAATCCATCTAAACGACCCGACAACTTAACGACCGGCCGTCTTAACGACCCGACAGACCAACAACTTAATAACCCTATGAGACAATGACTTGATGATCCAACTTAACGACCCAACAACCAAAACACCTTCCAGTGGAAACACTGCGTCTTCATGCATGTTAATAACTATGAAAACAATGACTTGTATAACCTCTAACAGGAATCTGTCCCGGATACACCATGTATCCTCACCTGCCATGTCCCTCCCTCACTTGGCAAGTCCCTCCCTCACTTGGCAAGTCCCTCCCTCACTAGTCACAGCCACCTCTCGCTTGTCACCTGTCACAACAGTTTCTCACCTGTGACAGCCCTCCGTCAGCTGTTATTGTCCTCTTTTCCGTCCCTATGGTGTCAATGACCTCTTCCTTGCGCCATCAGAGTATCACACAATTCATCACTTGTCATCTCTACCACCAGGAGCTCAAATGATAGGTTTCGATCGTATGAATAAATAACTACGGGTCATAAGTGTTTCGACCCACACGTGATGTTCCACAACATGTTTCTCCTCGAGACTTGTCTCATATGTCCAGTAAACTGTTTTCCCTTTGTACAATCTAACACGATAGGTTCGCATATATTATATTTAAATAGCTTTACAAATATTTATGTAAGTCTCACCTCTAACAGTCAAGAGTTATATAAGAACGTAAAGACTGAACACCTACCCGCGGTTAAAGTGAGCGCGATACTGGCTGTGCTCGAAGTCGTCCTCCCCAGCAGGATGTGGAAGGCGGGGCTCTTCCCGCTACTGTGATTCCTACACATGCACACGCACATATATTTAGAGCATGTCTACTGCCGTATCGTGTAGAAGCAACTGATTACAACTCGCCTGGAAAGGCCATGATGTTGTTTATGAAGTTTACCTGACGTTACACTGGTGCGGCTCCTGCAACAGGCTTTACCGACGGGAAATTCCAGCTCGCGCATTATTTATGCTTATGTTTGTAGGCATCTTCCTGTGTAAGCACTGGTTTCACGGGGTCAAGATGTGCGCCGCTAGGCTGTTCCCGGGGCTACAAGTTCCTCTTCCGGTGGCACTAGGCTGCTCCTCCGGGGGGCACTAGGCTGCTCCTCCGGGGGGCACCAGGCTCCTCCTCCGGGGTTACCAGGCTGCTGCTCCTCCGTGGGCACTAGGCTCATCTTCCGGGGGCACTGAGCTCATCTTCCGGGGGCACTGGGCTCCTCTTCCGTGGGCACTGGGCTCCTCCTCTGTGGGCACAAGACTTGAGGAATGTACAGTGATGTCGACACATTTGTCTGTAATACTAAATGATTCTAGTTTCATGCGGATAGTATATAGAAAATAATGTTTATACGACACAATACAGGTTTTCAGAGGGTTTGTGTGCTTGTGTGTGCGTGTGCGCATTCATTTGTAGCTCGCTAGGGGTCAGTGCATTAATGATTGCTTGCCTCACTGCTGACTAATGGTTGGGAAACATGTATTCAATAACACGTAAGACCAAAAAAAAAAACATACATATATGTATGTGTTCAATGACGGGCAGAGACAGGTGAAGAAGCCAATGTTATAGGATATTTAAATACAAGATTTATTGTCATGGGTTTAGGAAATAAACTGCAGTGCACGGAATATATAAGAGGAGAAATCTAACTGATTAAGGTAGAACCAAAACATCCTGGAATGGATTTTTTTTATTAACAAGCTTAGATATACACAGCAAGGTGCTGCGTTATGTATGAAAGATTACACAGTATCTAGAGAAGACTAGAGAAGAGTTTCTCTAGTCTTTCCTGGCATTAGAGAGGAAAGAGGAATTAGTTTTCACACAAGATTGGACTGAATAAATTTGACTGTTATTTACTGGCGCTTAACTTGACTGACAATGTAACATGCATATCATCCACTGCGCTTCGCCATGGACAACGACCTCAATAGTTCACAAGTGCGTTATATATAAAATGTGTGTGTGTGTGTTTTATAAACACACTAGTGTATCTGGTTGCTTCCGGGTCCTTTCCCCTCCTTTTCCCTCTCTCCTTCCAAAGTACCACATCTCTTTCTCTTCCCATATTCTCTCTCCTCCTCCTCCTCCTCCCTTAACCCTCCTACTCCCTTTAATCCCTTCTTCTTTCCATCCTCTTACGTAATTTCCCCTCTCCTCCCATCTCCATTCCTCCCTCTAACTCTTCTCTCCCTCTTTCCACCTTTCCCAGTCTCCTCCAACATCCTTCACTTCCCTTCTCACCCCTCACCCCTCTCTACCTTTCTACCTCATCTCATCCTTCTCCTCCCCTCTACTTCCCTCTCCCCCCCCCCCCCTATCCTTATGTTTCTCTCCTGTCCCACTCTCTAAACACTGAAACTAGTATTAACTCTATGGAAAAAACAATCTCTAATTCAGACTTGGCTTCATAAAAATAGCAGGAGTGGGTTGGTAGTGGCTAGAGATGCAGGTATTTCTTAAGGTAGCACCGGATTGGCCACAATGCCACACTAATAATAATAATAACCAATATTAAGGAATTAATAATAAATTTATAAAATATTTCTGAGGACAGGATTTCAATAATTTCATTGTAGATATTTGTTACTCTTTCTAAAAACAATCACACATTGATGGACAAGAAGAAAAAATAAACATTCTTACATTTTAAACATTAGACTATCAAAGTTTACATACACTGAGAGTTTACTTTAGTCCTGGACTAAAGTATTCTTTCTGGCTGGTCAATAAACTATTGTGACTTTAATAAACTTCCAGAGGTTGATAGGTCATTAATATACATTAGCCAATACAGATGGATGGAGAGTACTGCATTATCTTATTACTATTTAGTTTACATACAAGAAGGCACAATGAGTTGTGCATAATAATTCATGCCTGTTTATGTCTGTGTTCCCGGTTCCTTGATCTGTTACTCCTTCCACCAGTAGGAAATGGTACAAATGTCAGCTGTTCCTGCGAACCATTGACTGTACTCTACGCTTCCTTGCCGTCACCACCTTGACGCACAAACTCAAGGACGTATTTTACGCAACTGTTGTGGAGGGCGTCGTGTAGTGTACCGAGGGAGTTCGTAGACGTGATGTACCGAGGTAAACTGTCTCTTAGTTGAGAGGACGGGTTGCAATTTAACCTGTTGGCCGGCATGACAGGCAAGACAGCTTAATTGACGTCACAATTGCACTAGAATATACGATGTCAACATACATTCCATCCTCGAGTGATGCTCGTCCAAGCCTCGCCCGACCCCAAAGATGTATTCATAAATTTCAACATAATGTGAATTCAAAATTGTCATTGAGAAAGTTTGATTTAAAATGATTTCCTGGGAAGCTGAATTTAATATTTTTCTCTGTATCATATAATCAATGTGATTTCTAATGGATTGATAGTTCTTCCAGAGGTGGTACTTTAATGTTAGTTTTTTTTTTACTGTCATTGTCATTCTATTTCTTTTCTAGTCATTTAGTTCTTTTCTAATCCTTTTTCGTTTCACTCTCCTTCTTGTCATGTTCGTGTTCATTGATGGAATTAACATTTTGAATTCCTTTTCTGGTCTTAAAGTGGACCTGTAGGTGTCGTTCGAGTGACTTATGCTTGTGATGTCAGTCACCCAATCTATTGTCTCGTGATTAAAGTCCCCCATTATATGGGTTTGAGTTTCCGCTGCTGCATTGATCACATTATGCAGGTCAGTAACTTCCTCTGCTGTTGCTGTTGCTGTAGCATACTTCCACTGTCAAATGGCTACCGATTGATGAAGATTAAGCCACCCTAGAGGTGGCAGGGGCATGAGTAGTCCGTAAAATTAACTACTATTTTCAACTAGTATATATCCTACATGAGGACAGGTGGCTCTGTGATGCTAGTGCGTAGTGACTGGTTCTCCATCATGTCGAGGTTTGGTGGTGCTAGTTTTTTGTGACTCGAATATAAAGTAACATAGTGCCATAGTGAATCCTGAATGTAATTGGTAGTATATTGACTGTATCCAAAAACCTCAGTACCCCATCAAAAATTATATTTTTAAATAACTTTTTCCTTATTAGACTCTCTTTTTTAATATTTGAAGGGATAAATATACTACTAAGAATACTTAAAATAATTATAACTGCAAGAATAAACATTAAAATCTAGTGTTTATTTATAAGAGAATTCGGTGATTTTATATTTGTATGTTTATATCAAAAAGCTTTTTACATGTCAGCAGTAATCATAGATTAGGTTCTGTATTAATTTAATTAATTAAGCTTACATGTCCGTCTTCAAATTTTGAAATAATTATTATAAAGTTAAACACAACTCAAAATTTAGAGAATACAGCACTCATGCTGTGCCAGGTAAGTCCACTATAGGCTCACCATAGTCTGTGCTATTTTGGAACTTATTGGCCAGAGTAGCAGAATATAATATATATATAATATATATATATATAGTTTAAAAAATAATAATATATAATATACATATAATATATATAATTGTATATATAAATATATTTGTATATAGTATATTAGGCAGTGATGTGGTGGAGGCTGATTCCGTACACAGTTTCAGATGTAGATATGATAGAGCCCAGTAGGTTCAGGAATCTGTACAGCAGTTGACTGACAGTTGAGAGGCGGGACCAAAGAGCCAGAAACCCCCCCCCCCCCCCTTCAGCACAACTAGGCGAGTACACACACACACACTTTCGTAATCACAGGGTTTGGGTTTTCCACATATATCATAATATGGCGACAACACAGCCCCTCAGTGTTCAGAACTGTCTGTATTGTGTATGTTCACCCCCGTATCGTTCATGTTCAACCCGTACGTTCACCGCTATGTTAGGTTCATTTCATTGTAGCATTTCCTTGTAACTCATGCCTCATAGTTCTGGGACTAGCCTAGTGGCAAACCTTTGGTCTTTTTCCAGCTTAGTTCTGTGCTTCACAAGGTACGGGCTCCATGCTGGGGCCGCATACTCCAGAATTGGTCTTACATATGTGGTATACAAGGTTCTGAATGATTCCTTACACAGGTTCCTGAAGGCAGTTCTAATGTTAGCCAGCCTCGCATACGCCGCCGATGCTATTCTTTTTATGTGGGCTTCGGGAGACAGGTTTGGTGTGATATCAACTAGATCGTTCTCAGTCCGTTTCATGGAGGACTTCATCTCCCAATCGGTATCCTGTTTCTGGCATCTAGTACATGGTAAACATCTTCAGTAATGTGATAGTATGTTCTCTGGAAGTGTTCCAGCAGCATGGAGGGGTGCCAACGTTGTGTCAATTTCTAAAGTGGGACAGAGATAGCTACACTTTAATAATTATCAAATTAGCTAAACATCACTTGTGAAGAATGTACTTAAAAAAATAATAGCAAATTCAATTTATCATACTGAAAATAATAAGCCTTAGTTCATTAGATTTGTATTATCAGTCATTAAAGAGAGAACATTCATGTTTTAGCAAAATGTCATAAAGTAATATTTTGTGAGGAACAATGTCAAGGTTTTGGTCACTTTGTGTCATGTAATATAGCCATCTGGCGAGTTCTTGGAAATGTTGTGAAACTTAGTTATGTACCTAGGTGGAAATGCCCATTGTATCAAAGCTTGCCATCATGGGAGAGGGAGAGGTGCTTCCTTTCCTACATTCTGCTGCAGTACCTGGAACACAAAACCTCTTGAAAGCGACTTCCTGACCTGCCTTCTGTCCTAATACTGGGAACAACGCAAGAGGTTCAGATATACTTCGTGGCCCACCTGTCCCGGTACAGGTGTCTCACGAAGTACGGCGGCTCATATTGATATCCATTCAAAATGACTCATGTGTCTAACATTCACTGGAAATAGTCCATCTATCCCGCGTCGATTTTGTTTCTGTAATTTGTTCCATGAATTTCCAAACCAGTATTTACACTGGTCATGGAATATGCTTGATATCTGGAACGTCTCTCTCTCTCTCTCTCTCTCTCTCTCTCTCTCTCTCTCTCTCTCTCTCTCTCTCTCTCTCTCTCTCTCTCTCTCTCGCCCAGCCATGCGTCGCTGAGACTGGTGCACCTTTTCTGACGTTCCCTGGCCGTCAAAGGCGAGAGGAACGTACAGACGTTGTACTGTTTGACCTTCACAAGTGGGTTACATTTCCGCATCTGGTGTCCTCAAGATACGGTCCTATAAAATGCTACAGATGGGATCAGCGATCTTGTTAATGAACATGTTAATAGTTATCGTGGGTGTACTCCTTGATAATAAGCAGTAAATGTGGATACAGTTTGTTATCTTGGATCTTCGGCTGGCCGCAGAGGACGATTCTTAGAGAGTTTGCTTTGGACTTGGATTTAACGCCTATCAACCTGTGAAAGGTTATTAAGGCCACTACAATAGTTTACTAACTAAACAGCAAGTATACTTTAGTTCTGGACTGTCTAGGACCGAAGTAAACTCTCGGTGTTTATAAAACGATAAGAGGGGTACACTTCTCGGTGTATACCTCCTTCCTGAAGTGTCTTCATATAAAGGAGTACAGGTTATAAGAAAATGTATTGAATGGGGTTGTTTGAAAATGCTTTTTATGTCGTACATAATAAAATACAGGTTAAAATTTTAAAAAATAAGGGAGAGATAAACTTTAAACTTTCTCTTATTAAAATAGAGTGTAGTTCTTCGGTGAACCTATACAAAATGCTTACATAAACCTGTTATGAATTGGTATCTTTAAAAGCCTAACGTGTTTGTTTTGTTTTTTCTACAGGTACAGTATACGGAGGAACCAGCAAAGCTCTCTATCACACACGGGTAAGTAAAGCAGCTTTATCGTCCAAACTTGCATCAGTTATATCTCTGCATGGCATATGAATTAGGAGGAAACATGTCTTTATTTTAGTCAGCCAAGCATTCCAATTCTAGGGCTCACAGTAACATAGGTACAAGTCACATGTGCATACGGTTTCCCTCAACCCAACCTATGCCCAAAGATTTTGACAATCTAAAAATGAGCTTTTATGTTACCGTTTGTGCATGCTTTGGCATTACCCCTTTAACATACGTGTGGGGTTTGCGGAGGCGTGCCTGCGTCCATCTCATGTGTCTTCCGTGGTGAACTTTGTGTGTATATATATATATGGTGAAAGATGTTGATCACACAGCACCGCTCCTGTGCCAGGTAAGTCCACTACGGCTCACCATAGCCCGTGCTACTTGCCCCGCTCCTGTGCCAGGTAAGTTATGGGCTCACCATAGCCCGTGCTACATAGAACTTGTTCCGAGTAGCTGAATCTATAACAATAACAACGTTAATCACAGCTGTCGTAGTTTGGCGGCCCTTTAACGGTGAGTGGCAGGTATTGACCACAGAGGCTTTAACGGTGAGTGGCAGGTATTGACCACAGAGGCTTTAACGGTGAGTGGCAGGTATTGACCACAGAGGCTTTAACGGTGAGTGGCAGGTATTGACCACAGAGGCTTTGACGGTGAGTGGCAGGTATTGACCACAGAGGCTTTAACGGTGAGTGGCAGGTATTGACCACAGAGGCTTTAACGGTGAGTGGCAGGTATTGACCACAGAGGCTTTAACGGTGAGTGGCAGGTATTGACCACGGAGGCTTTGACGGTGAGTGGCAGGTATTGACCACAGAGGCTTTAACGGTGAGTGGCAGGTATTGACCACAGAGGCTTTGACGGTGAGTGGCAGGTATTGACCACAGAGGCTTTGACGGTGAGTGGCAGGTATTGACCACAGAGGCTTTAACGGTGAGTGGCAGGTATTGACCACAGAGGCTTTAACGGTGAGTGGCAGGTATTGACCACAGAGGCTTTAACGGTGAGTGGCAGGTATTGACCACAGAGGCTTTAACGGTGAGTGGCAGGTATTGACCACAGAGGCTTTAACGGTGAGTGGCAGGTATTGACCACAGAGGCTTTGACGGTGAGTGGCAGGTATTGACCACAGAGGCTTTAACGGTGAGTGGCAGGTATTGACCACAGAGGCTTTAACGGTGAGTGGCAGGTATTGACCACAGAGGCTTTAACGGTGAGTGGCAGGTATTGACCACAGAGGCTTTAACGGTGAGTGGCAGGTATTGACCACAGAGGCTTTGACGGTGAGTGGCAGGTATTGACCACAGAGGCTTTAACGGTGAGTGGCAGGTATTGACCACAGAGGCTTTAACGGTGAGTGGCAGGTATTGACCACAGAGGCTTTGACGGTGAGTGGCAGGTATTGACCACAGAGCTTTGCACTACACAATACATAACACCATTGTCCGTCTGTGGAAAATGTATTGGAAGTTTACTTTCTATATTTCCGGAGGACATAATGTTGATGGACCGCGAAGCGCTCAACGTTTCCGTCCGAGGATGTGTGGGTTGTAAGTGGGACCATAGTGCGTTGAGGACAGTCGCCAGCGAGGAAACTACGCCTCATTTGATATCTAGTTCAGTGCCAGGATTCACGAGGCATTTACTAATGGGTAAATAGTGGTTTGAAAATAGGGTTGTTAATTTGTGGAACAAATTACCGTGTAAAATAGACGTGAGATCGCTAGATTACTTTAAGGCGGTCCCCAGCCTTTTTTGGAGCGGCTCTATTATCTAATTCTAAAGAGACTCCCCATTCTAAT